AAAAAGGGAAAAGAAAAAAATGTGAGAGAATGAAAAGATGAAAATAAAGTGTTTGTAGATGGGGAGGGGAGGAGGGGGTGAAGGGAGGGCAGAGGTAAGGGGAAAAAAATGAGAATCAAGACTTGCCATGTAAAGGTACATGATCCCAACAATGAATGTAACTGTACTGTATCCCTAAATGTACCAATAAACTCAATTAAAAAAAAATGAAATATCTAGGAATCATTCTAAAAATGAAGCAAAAGACCTCTACATTGAGAACTACAATACTCTGAAAAAAAAAAAGATTGAAGAGGATATAAGGAAATGGAAAGACATCCCTTGTTCCTGGATAGGAAGAGGCAATATAGTGAAAATGGCCATACTTCCAAAACTTTTTTACAGATTCAATTCAATAGCAATTAAAATACCAACAGTATATTTCACAGAACTAGCAAAAGCAATCAAAAAATTCGTTTGAAACAAATGAGTCCTAGAATAGCAAAAGTCATTTTAGGCAAAGAGACATGTCAGGGGATGTCACATTCCCCAACTTGAAACTATAGTGGAAAGCCACATATTTAAAGCAGCATGGTACTGGCAAAGAAACAGACCCGAGTATCAGTGGAATAGATTAGAAGATGAAGAAACAACTCCAGAGATACTCAGCTACCTCATCTTTGACAAAGGAGCCAACCATCCTCACTGGAGGAAAGACAGCCTCTTTAATAAATGGTGTTGGAAAACTGAGTTTCAATTTTCCAAAGATTAAAACTAGATCCCTATATTTCACCATGCACTAAACTAAAATTGAAGTGGATTAAAGATCTAAATATTAAAACAGAAACACTAAACTTTCTGGAAGATAAGCTAGATAGAACTCTTGAAGAAATTTCCATAGGAAAAGACTTCATGGACAAATCCTCAGTAGCATGAGAGCTTGCACAAAGAATCAACAACTGGAACCTCATCTTTTTAAAAAAGCTTCTGCACTGCCAGAGAAACCACCAACAGAGCTAAGAGACAACCTACAATGTGCAAACAAATTTACTAACTGTTCCCCTGACAAAGGTCTACATCTAGAATATGTGAAGATATATATGAACATATTTTCAAAAAAATCAGGCCCCCAAATATAAAGATCCAATTCAAAAAATGGGCATCTGAAAAGAACAGACATTTCTCAAAGAAGTAAAAGCTGCAAATATACATATGAAAACATGCACAACATCTCTAGTCATTTGAGAGATGCAGATGAAAACAACACTGAGATTTCATCTCACCCCAGAAAGAATGGCTGCTATCAAGAAATCAACCAATAACAAATGCTGGTGAGGCAGTGGGGAGAAAGCAACCCTTCTCCATTGTTGTTGAGAGTGTAGACTGGTGAAACCACTATGGAAATCAATATGGAGATACCTCAAAGAACTAGGATTAGAGCTCCCATTTGACCCAGCTATTCCCCTGCTGGCTGTCTTCCTAAAAGAATTAAAAGAATCAAACAACAGTGACATATGCTTACCCATTTTATAGTGGCACAATTTGCAATAGTTAAAATTTGGAAACAGCCCAATTGCCCAGAAATTGGAGACTGGATAAAGAAGATATTTTTTATATAAAATGGAGTACTACTCAGCCATAAAGAAAGAGAAACTAGAGACATTTATAGCTAAGTGAATGCATATTGAGGCCATACTCTTAAGTGAAATTAATAGGACACACATGTGTAAATACCATACAGATTCTCTGGTGTGATAAGCTAAAAATGTAAATAAGAGTCCAATCAATATAATTGATATTTTGTAATAGGAAGAACAGGTCTAAATGTATTAGGCAAATGTGAGGAGTCAGGGAAAGGGAAAAAGGGAAAAGAACTAATAAGAGAAAAGGAAAAATTGGAAACACAGTCTTTGTAAATAGGGAAGGTTGAGGGGGGAAGAGAGGCTAGGGGAATGGGGAAAAAATAAGAACCAAGATATGTCATGTAAAGGTACAAGATCCCAATGATGAATGTAACTGAACTGTACACCTAAAATGTACCAATAAAAATATATTTTAAAATGAAAATAAAAATTTAAAAAGAGGAGAAAGGAAAAAATATGAGATAAAAAACAAATGGAAACAAAGCTTTTGCAGATAGGGAGGGGTAGAGGGGTTGAAGGGAGGGCAGAAGAATGGGGGAAAAATAAGAACGAAGACACATCATGTAAAGGTACAAGTTCCCAATGATGAATGTAAATGTTTTGAATACCTAAAATGTAATTTAAGAGAAAAAAAGTCTATTCCCTGTCTCTGCTCCTTCCTCTTGGGACAGTCCCATTTTGTTTCTTCCATCTCTTCTGCTAGGTTCTTACATGCTACTGCTGCTCACACATCAATTATTTATCCTCTTTCTGTCACCCTAACCCATTGAAACCACAGGCATACCCAATGACAAAATGATGATTCCCAGATTTTTTCCCTTCTTATGCAGTCTTCTGAGCTTTAGACCCAGAGCTCTAATTTCCCACAAAACATGTACACTCAAAGGATTACACAGACATTTCAAGTTTAACCTAACAGAACTAAATCATTATCTTTCCTCCTTATTCATTGCTCCATGAAACAGCAACCCCATTTACTTAGTTTATTAACTGAACATTATTCTAGTCTCTTCCCCATACCCTACATCCAATTACTGCTAAATCTAGTAAGGTTTCACTGCCTTGATACATCTGGCATCTTTATTACCCTTATCGTTATGGCTACTGAACCAGCAATGAGAGCCGGTCTCCTGCCTCTACACTTGCTCCTTCCAGTCCATCCTTCAGATATCCATCAGAACAATCTCTATAAAATCAAAACCTGAACATCATATGCTAGTTTGAGACCCTTTTATAGTTTTCAGTGGCATACTGGTAAAGAGAAAAATCTTAGAATTAGATTCATCTATGGGTTGATCCTATAATTTCAGTCTATTTTCTAGTAATTGTTTACCTATTTAAAATCTGTTTGTATCTCTATTTACTCGCATTTCCCCAAAATATCATGATTGTCCAGCTCTCTATGCCTTTGTACATATGGCCATGCTTTCAGGAACACCTCTCCCTCCTTGTTGGCCTAAAGAAGCCCTCTACCTGTCTTTGGATAATCACTATACTGAAGCCTCACACAATTACCCCCACCAGAGGGGAACATCTAATGAGGTCCTTTGTAAATCCCTATCCAAAACTAACAGCATACACATTGAACTGTAGTGTAATTCTTTGTTTCCAGAACTGCTCACCCTACTAGATTATAATTTCTTAGAAACGAGAGTTGGCATTTTTGGATTTCCTATCATACAACATCAGCACTTACGATGATTTTATTAGATTCCTATTAGAATTGATCATCACTTTAAAGATAACTCGTTCATATATAAATACAAATAAATTCCTGCAATAGAAATCTTAATATTTAAAACACACAACAAAATACAGATTTTTTGTTGCTGTTGAAAGGCTTTGAGGAAAAACTAAGAGGTCTCAAATTAAGAAAGGATTTCATGTGCAAGTATGGTTTACTTACACTCCAGACTGAAGAGAAGGGGCAGACACTTGAGCAGCTGGAATTGCCTTTACGGACATCTTTCCTCATCAGTACAATCAACTCTCTGATACAATACTTTGACAGGCCATGTCAGTGCTCCTTTATTTTGATTCTGACTCTGATTCTGTTGTGAGCTCAGTACGTTATGCCACACACTGTACAGATTTATCAGGATTGGCAAGGGTTGAATAAAAGCTCTGTCTTTGTTGCTTTGAGACTTCCAGGGGCAGAAGCCCCCTGCAAGCTCTGTTTTATTGAGATAGGTAAATCATCTAAGTACTTTGCATTTGAGTACCCAGTACATAGTGACTGCTGAGTAATTTTTATTTCCTTCTCATTTACTGAATGAAATTTACTTTTCCACATTTTTAATCTAATCTGTTCTCCAAGATTACAAATGCTCTCTTAATGCCAAGCTATTTGCAGAAAGACAGCCCGGTGATGGCTGGCACATGCCAAGAAGTCTGTTTTCCTTTTCTAGAGTATTTTCTATTCTCTTTTCTTAGTTAAGTAAAAACAAAAGTGATTAGGTCAGAAGAATAAATTGATTTACCTTAAATGCTAATCTGTTGCCACCAGTTGCTTGGAACTGAATCTATAGACGCTTCTCCTGCATCTGGGAAAACTGGTCCCCTCCTATACCCTCTGTGAATTCTCCTTCTTACCTGTCTTGCCCAGAAGTACTGGCCAACCCTCTTAGTGCTAATTGGATGGCCTGGGAATACTGTGCAGAATCCTGGCAGGATTGGCTAAGCTCACTGTCAATTTCTATTCCAGACTTGCCTCTTCTCAAGTTTACACTTTTGTTGTCTAGGAAACCCCAGTGACTAGGAAAACCCAAGCTGCTTGCTCTGGGAGAAAAGCCAGCAGGAAGTTTTGGTAGCAATTGTATGGTTTCTAAAGCAGCATCAAAACTTGACATTCATGTTTTATAAAATAATGTTCAGAAAAAAATGTCCTTCTTCCTTTAGGCAGTCCCTTCCTACTCTTCTATTGTCTTCAAAATACATGCTGTTAATGTGGATTATTTACCATATGAAACATAAAACCACAACTCTCAGAAATAGGCAGGCACAACTATAGGTGACTCAGTGCCCTATTATTAATCTACATTTGCACACTGATATCTGCTGTTCTATTCATGGTTTCTCCTCGTCCTCGTCCTCGTCCTCGTCCTCGTCCTCCTCCTCCTCCTCCTCCTCCTCCTCCTCCTTCTCCTTCACCTTTCACTTCTAGTTTTACACTTCTTCCTTGGAAATAAGATTTCCGGATAAAAGTTCTCTAGTGGTCCCATGTAGGTGAATGACGCAGAGCACACTCTATTTCACTCGGGGTCTATGACATCCACATCCTGCCCCACGCGTCATCCCCACTCCTCTGAACCCTTTGGTTTAGGAGTGATGCAGAGAGAAACAGGATTATAACTATGAAGACTTGAGTTTCTCTTCCTGTTCTTTGTCCTACCTACCTAACATATTTTCTCAAGCGTGGTAGCTGATTTCTGAAACTGGCAAGACATCTGCTTATCAACTTCTTAGACTTGCCCATAAAGGACTGAATTGAGTAAGTCTTGACATTAATTGCAAAGATTTCCTCTGAATTTTATTTGTGAGGCAAGAAAAGACCTGTTCTACTATTTCCTTTGACTCTCTTTTGGGATTAAATGCTATTTCCAGAAGAGGGGGACCACCTTGATTATGGTACATGACACCTACTAACCAATGAGCAGGTGCTGATACAAGTGCAAATTCAGTGTACTTACCACTTGCATGCCAAGGCAATTTTGAGCATCTTCTCTGAACCTTACACATTTTATCCAGAAATGCTCTCTATGCTACCACAGACCTAGTAGTATTAAGCTATGTCACCCCACATTCACTAAATAAAATTATGAAGCTAAATTAATTAGCCATTAAGAAAACCAACCACTGACAGATAAATCTGTCTTTAATACATTAATAAGACAGTAAAGTTAACTAACTCTTAGGTGAGAGTCTGGTCTCTTAAGTGAGAGTCTCTGCGTCTTCCATAGCACCCTTCAAAGTACCTTGTACAAGCGTGAATTTGGTCAAGCTTTTGAAAAAATAAATTATTAAACTGTGTAAAATGCATTACGTTTCTACTATAAAATCTGCTTTTTTGGAAATAGCTACTTCTTTTTTCTTAAGGATATTGGGTCAGATCTTAGGTATTACTTTTACATGGATAGTGACATTTAAATAAATAACTATATCACAATAGCCCACAACTAAAATGTGATAAATGAAGCAAGAGATTAATGTGAAGGAAAAACAATATCAAAAGTGTAGATGAGCACATAAATAACCATGTGTGGCTGAGGTAACTTAGAAGAAAAAGAATAACTATATAATAAAAAATGAGTGACTTGTTAAATTTCAGTTTGAGATCTGAAAATGCACACCCAAATATAAACTTTCCCCATTTTGCAATAGATAGGCTTACAGTTTTGAAATTACAACGGTGCAATTGTGATGTGCCTGCAGTAGAAACCACATTTGAAATTTTGAATTTTGATTTCTCCCTAGACAGCAGGTTACATTTCCAGTCAACCAAGATCAACACGAAAAATAATCAATACCATACATTGTGCTGTGTTGCCAAATTATAATGTTTAATACATTAGGTATATTAAATTCAGATTCAACTTGCAATCTTTTTAACTTATGTACTTATACTTAAGTAAGTTGGGAACAACTGTACATGTTTTTATAAACAAATAAGTTGTGTGTGTGTCATTATGTTATTATGTTTCATAAATAACAATTAAACCTCAGTAAATTAAATATTTTGTTTGTGCTTATATTTTTTCAAATTTATATAGTTATATAGTTATGGAAGGACTCTAAGTCTCACTCACAAAATAAACTAAGTCTGAATCTGTGAAATCAATTCCTAATATTAAGCTGTTTATTATTAATACTATCGTTCCCTAGGGAAGAGCTCTACTTCTTGTACAAGGGTATTTTCCCTCTCTATAAAGTGCCCTAATATTATTTTAGAAATCATTAAAATGTGCTCCTCTTCAGTTACATTCAAATGCAATAATAATTTACAAATACAAATGCTAGATTTTAAGATAGTCATCTAAAAAGAATTGAAATACATCTCACCCATATGCCCTTCAAATTTATTTTAAGGCATGTTTTTTATACAAAACCATATCTACTTAAAGAATATCATTCCTTAACTTTCAGAGATGTGCACACAGAACTACCAACAAAAATCAAGAAGCATTGCACACTTTTCTGTACACAGGCTCATGCAAACAGTGCTGTTCTTTTTCACCGCAGATTACTCTGTATTTCTTCAAATTTCATATAAATGAAATCATCCAGGATGTACTTTTTAAATATTGTTTGGATTCCATGAAGTGGACATCATGAAAAGATTCTAAGCAGGAAAATAAAGGACTCCAATTGCTGTTCGGTCAGAATCATGCTTACAGCCTGATGGAGGAAGCCAGGCAACATCATTCTGGCTCTAGCTGATATTGAAGAGATTCAGGGATTGGGAGGGACAGTATACAGAAACAAGGAACACAAAGTCTGTCCCAATAAATCACTAGGTATTAGGAAAGGACAATATACTCTGGGTGGAGAAACGGAGTTACAAGAGCCCAATATTGTGACACATGCCTGAAATTGCAACACTAGAGAGAGTGAGGCACGAGATCACTGCAAGACTGGAATATAGTGCAAGACCCTGTCTCAAAAAAAAGAAAAGAAAAGTTCTTGAATTTGTCTCTGTTCATCATGAGGGACATAAACTCTGAGCTCTGTCTTCCATAAAGAGGGCTTCACATCTGTCCTCCATTGTACTGTCACACTCATTTCAGAAAGAGGTCTTGTAAAAATGGTAGACATGAAATCTTGTAACACATGCACGCACGCACACACACGTGCAATTGCATGTGACATGACTGTGGGCCATGGGCCTCACTACTGTAGCATGAGATCTCAGAGAATTTTGTAAACGTAGGCATTGATTACAACAGGTTTTCAGGCAAATTCTCTTCTGGAATTTGGAAAGGAATTTCCTCTTTTTATTAAAATCTCTGCAGGATATACTTACAGTAACTGCTTCGACTTGGTTTGAATTATTTTAGGATATGGTTTTAGGATATGTTTTATAATTAAGTAATCCCCAACTATGATTCTTCTAGGGTGACCCCCACTTCTAAAGCTTACTTCTCAATACTTAAAAGACTTAAAACTTTTAAGGAGGAATTTTATTCTGTCTGGGAATGTAAAAGCAAATTAATGGAGCAAACGTTTGAATACAGGATATTTCATGAAAGCCTCCTACCCAAGAAGCAGTTTGATTTAGTAATTTAGGAAAGAAAATCAAAAGTAAAAACAATAAAAAAAACAAAAGAGGGGAGAGTGAAGTGTGGACAACATAAAGAAGCCCCCATACTTATTCTCCATAATCTGACAAATAAAAAAACAAGACAAAGATAAAAACTCTCGAATATTTAAGCCATGCATTTCTTTGTTTCTTTTCTAAACAGCTGATAAAATTACCAACAGTTTATGCATATGGAGATTTTTTTCTTGTTCTGGCTTACGAAACTGAATCTGGACTTCTGGCATTGGTTCTAGGACATGATTAATTATACATGAAAGCACTATGACTATTTCCACTGGTAAAGAGGTTACTGATTGTTCACAGTGTGATGTAGCATAAAGCACACGCAAAACATTCTGCTGGACTCCCAATAAAATATCAACACAGGGCAAGTTGCTGAGAGACCATCATATCTTATAATGACGATGTTTGTTTTCTCTTAATTGTGCTAGAAAAATGCTTCAAAATTCCAAGCTCATGCTACACATAAATCATCTGAAAGCGTCTGCGTCTTACGTAGAGAGTATACTCACTACACTCACAAGATGGCGATTGTAAAAAATCAGAATCTCATCCCAAGAATGGTTGAATTTCAATACACAAGAAAGTACGTGTTTATATAATGACTAGTACACAAATATTAATACATGTTTAGGTCTACCAGCTGAAACTAGGCACAATTCAAATCTCCATCAACAGGTAACTGGATAAACCCATTATGGTAATCTTTATATTAGAATACAACTAACAATTAAATATGAATAAAGTAAGTATGCATACAATGCAAATCAATCTCCAAATAATCATGCTGAATAAAACTAGCCAAAACAAACAGAAGAATACACATTCTTATGAAATTAATATACGTTCTACAGGATGCAAATGAACAAATAGTTACACATAGTGAAGGAAAGAAAAAGGGTTGAAAGAACATGAAAAATCTCCTCAGGGATGCTTATATATACATTATGTTGAATAAATAAAGGCATATATGTAGTCAAACATATCACATTATAGTTTTAAACATAACTTTTACATGCCAAATTTATTCAGTGTTTTGTTCTCTTTTAAGTCAAAGTAAGGAACTTCAGTATACAACCACAAAGACTCCATTTACCTACCCATTTTGCTCAATTAAAAATGGAAAACAGGAAAGAGAAGAAATACTCTTAGGCACTGGACACCAGCAGTACAGGACTCTGACCAATGGTAGGAAGGACTTCCTAGGCTCTTGGAAGCAATACCCATACGGAGCTTAGCCATCTTTGTAACAGGGAAGATGAGCTGCGGGAAAGAAAAAGCCAATAGAATTCATAAGGCAGAGTACCAGAGAACAGAGCTGCCCAGAGAAATGTCTAGAGCTGGAGTCTTCAAATGAACACAGTTCAGTACATGCATAAAAAAAATTAAAAAACAAAAAACAAAAAACTGCAGCCAGAAATGACCACTGAAAATGAGTGGAGAACGGGGCCCTCTGAGACCTCGTTCTTCCTTGACTCAACCCTGAATTATCTTATGAAATGTAGAAGGAGAGATGGCTATAGTCACTATGCTTTCTGAACTCAGCAGTACAAAACTGACTTCACCCTGATGGCAACAAGAATACTGTCCATTTAACACCACCGGACTGATGTGAGCATGATTTATAGAGAAAGGGAAAAGCCCATGGTTTAATCAAAAGCCTAATTCTCAGCTACTTAAATCAGCTGCTGATCTGTTCTTTCAAACTTCCCCAAAGAGTGCAGATCTGGCCCTGCTGAAAGGGATGAGACATTTTTTTGGTCAGCAGAAAATTTCCCTAGCCACAGACTGGGATAAGGTTTGCAGCCAGCCTTAAGGAAAAAGATGCAAAGGAAACCAGGTATAATAATTGTTCAGTTTCCCTCAAAAGTAACATACTCTCCACTAATGTGCCAGTGTCCTAACTACTAAGCACTTCTGGAAATTCAAATGTTTCCCAAAAGAACTGAATCTCTAAAGGTGACAATGATTCTAAGTGAGAAATAGGATTTAAGGTCTTACCACATTCTTCCAAAAGCAATCTGAGGACAACTTCCAAATTTGCCGCTAGTGTCTTCAGCTCCATGAAAGGAGGACACCATTTTCCCTAGAACATATCTTCACATTCTGTCATTAAAATAGATGACTTGAGAAGCTTTTAATGCAACTCTCAAACCCATGTAGAAAGCCCTCCACTGCATTTCATGTATACAGGGTAAAGTCAGCCATTGGACTGTATTCTGTACTTTTATGTACTTTATGTCTATCATTGATTTGTTTTACAAATATGAATTAAGGGCCTTACATTCTTACATTTTTGTCTTCCCTTTCCAAGCCTTATCTACTGCTACTTACTTACCTTTATATACTAAAGACCTAAATACAAAAAAAAGTTATACTAGCCCATAAAAAACTGAATTTCTCCAAAATCAGTGTGTATTTTGTATTTAGGTCTTTAGTATAGTTGGAATTTTTAATATAACATAGAGTGATCACACATGGCCTTTTTTTTACACTGCCTTTTTTAATTTTTTAATTTTTTTATTTTTTTTCTTTTTCTTTTTTTGTTTTTTGAGACAGGGTCTCACTAGTAGTTGAGACTGACCTGGAACTCACTGTATAGCCCAGGCTGGTCTCGAACTCACAGAGATCCTCCTGCCTCAACCTCCCAAGTGCTGGTATTACAGGCGTGTGCCACCACACCCAGCCTACATTGCCTTTTTTATAAGTGATTATTTACATTCCCTTGAAGCATTTCTTCCAGGCACTATGGCAAGTTCTTTACCAACAAGATAAAACAGAAACCAATTCCTGAACCTTAGGAGCTTAGGGTTTCTAAAAAGGAACGCTGTTGTCCACTTGACTGAATTAAGAAACTCCTGGACAAGAGATTAAATGGGGCACTATCCTCATCAGTGGATTATTTCACTCATGTGCATGGATGAGTGTATTGTGAAAAGGTGGGATCCAGTTGGAAGAACTTTCTCAGTGGGGCTTTCTTTGGAGAGTGTATCTCTGTCTGACATTCTTTCCCTGTGCTCTGGTTCCTTGCCTCCATGAAATGAGCAGATTTTCCCCACCAAGCTCTTCTGCATAACGTTCTCCTTCAATTCCAACTCACAGCATGGAGCCACAAATGGTCTGAAACCTCTGAACAGGTCGGCCAAATAAATTTTATTTCCTACTTTCAATTGCGCATGTCAGAAATTTTGTCCCAGTAACAAAAAAACTGACCAATAAAAAGACAGATACATGAACAAATAAATTATAATACTGTGAGAAAAATCTTCACAAGAGGATGTGATGCCTTCTGTCATGGCTATAGCTACCAGGTGGAGGTAAACAAAGGTGTAAATTATAACCTTGACTTTTATGATTAATTATGATTGTTAATTTGACTAAAATAAGAGACGCCTATCAAATTAGCAAAGCACACCTCTAAGTGTGTCTGTGGAGGAATTTCCTGAGTCATTTGCCACGTATAGCAGCATTCGGAGAGGGGAAGACCCAACCTGATTGTGAGTAGCACTATCCAATAGGCTTGCAGCCCAGCTTCAATGAAAAGAGAAAGAAGGAGAAAGTTGACTTGCATTTGGAAATCTCCATTCTAGCTGAGAGATGAGACTACAGTTTCTTAAGCCTTACAACTTGGACAAAAACCCATGACTCGAAAAAGAGCCCCTAGAGCTTGACTCTTGAGTGGACAATGTGTCCTTGATCTTTCTTTTTCTGAAGCTTACTAATTCTTGGACTGAGCAGGTACTATATCTTATGACTCACAAGAGTACAGACAGCCATTGTGGACTATCTTTCCTCTAATCCTATAGGCGTGTGTGTGTGTGTGTGTGTGTGTGTGTGTGTGTGTATGTGTATGCATATATAATCGATTCTGTTCCTCTATGGAGCCCTAACCAATACAGATTTTTTTTTTATCAAGAGTGATTTTAGAGAGACAGAATTATAACAAAAAGTTTTCCTAATCAGTTTAGTAGTTCCTGGAATTGATTCTCTAATTTAATGAGACCTAAAATTCCCATAGTCTCTTTCTGACACTAAAGAAATTACTGATAATGTGTAGTGTGAACTCTTTGAAGAAATATTAAACATAGATGCACTTAATACTCCTAATTCATCACTTGTGAGAAGCAAGGAATTTAATGACTCCATATATGATAATTTTGAATACTTGGGGATGATTAAAAATATGATGACGTTCGCTAGTTCTGCCTGAAATTTCAGAAAGAATAATAAAGGGAAAGAATGAGCTTAGGGATTTGATTTCTCATCTCCAGACATGCTTAGATAAAGTAAAATCACCTAGGTGTGTCCAGAAAAAGAATATGTTCATCTCCATTGCTATAGTCATAGGGTGGAATTTGCCAAAACCAAACGTAAGTCATTATCATCATGACTGGCTGAATTACAATATAATTTTAGCTCTCAATCTCAAAGTATACCTGCACTTAAAGTGAGGGCACTGATTTTAATATAATGAGATTGTCCATACTGAATGTTCTGTGGAGAGGGAATAGTTCAAAAATCAAGGGGAATTCAACACCTTCACACCAAGGCTGTACTTGGTGTCACGTCTTCTTCAGCTTCCTGGACCAACTCAGCCACTTGGCCACTGTGCCTAGAAGCTTCCCACAGAACCAAATGGTGCACAAAATGAGTCCCAGTAGGAACAAGAAGACATCAAGCCAGTACTGTTCATACCATGGCTGCTGGAGCACATAGGACATAAGGTGTATGGCATGCCTGGTCTGTAGAATGTGGTTGATCCAGCCCACCAGTCACTGAGCAGTAGTCAGAGTGCTAGATAGTGCTGGCAGCCACTGCTGAAGACTTGTATCTATTGGCAGAGAAGTGAGGTGACATTATGGAGGTTGTCTCAGGATATCAAACACACACAACACACACAATTTTCTACTTTGCCTACAGGTCATTCTAAAGAAAATGTGTTGGAATGAACTTGTCCCTGAATACCTTAACCCCTTGAAAAACTCAAGAAAACTCTACCAAAAAAGATCAGTAATTAATGCTAAAATTGCAATAAGTATGTGACTAGATCTAGGAAGACTGGTCTGTACCACTAAAATGCTGGTGACATTCTAAAGTAATTGATGCATAAAGATGTATGTGATAAAAGATATGCTTGGTCAGAGTTTTTGTTGCTGGAACCCTAATAAGGTATTTAGTCCTTCTTGCTTGTATGGTCATCATGCTAAATTGGTAGTAAACACGTAGATGTCAGGCCCCTTTTGTTGCCTCATTTGCCTGTGTCTTATGAAAGCCTGCTTCGTAGAAGAAGGTCCTGAAAACATAATAGCAAACAACAGATACACTGCCCTGTCCTCATGAGGCTTGCTTTCAACTCTCTAGAGTGGGGGCACAGACAAGTACTAAGGTCAAAGATAAGGAGTAACTATAGATTCTGTAATATGTTGAGAAGTCAGTAGTAGATGATGATTGGGTAGAGAAAGTGGAGAGGCAAATTATGACTGGCAGTGACTTGAGCTCTCTAAGAAGGCTAACTTGGAAGTGTGACCTCAATGCCATACAGTCAGCCTGTGAGGAGCAAGAAAGTGTTCTAAGGAGCAGAATAGGCAGAGATCCTGAGTCGGGAGAGCAGGCAAGTAGGAGGACACATAAAGAAATCTATGGCTTCACTTGGAATCTACCTTCAGCATCTTCAAACAAAATAGTTCTCAGAACTGACATTGTGCACTTACAAAAAAAAAAAAAATCAGAAAATTATTCTCAGTAAATTAACTGAAATCAATCTCCTCAGCAGAGGCAACCAATTGGCTGTTATCACAACACAAATATTATCCCATATGCTGGAAATCTCTGGATTATTGGAAAATAGACCAACAAATTACCCCGTTTTAGAGCTGCATTCATCTTAAAGGAGCACAACACAAGACTGATCCTCTATCTTCTATGACTTCTTTCATTTCAAGAGCCAATTCTCTGCTGTGAGCATCTTTAACTGAAGTGACACACCAAACTTTTTAGCTTTTATTCAGACCATGTTTTCAAGATGGTCCAAAGGTACAGGAATCCCCACAATGGGCCTGCCATGCTGGATGGGCCTCCATTATGCTATTTGTTCCACAGCGTGTGACAAAGAGGCAGACGCTAGGGTGAGCTACTGAAATAAAGAAGGCTTAACATTTCAGGATGAAAAGCTTCAGAACATCCACTAAAGAAATAGAGCAGGGGGTTTGTATCTGAGGGGACATCACATTGTATTGGACAAAATCAATTCACTCTTTGTAAATAGGGAAGGGTGGGGGGGGTGAGGGGAGGGCAAGGAAATGGGGAAAAAGTGAGAACCAAATTATACCATGGAAAGGTACAAGATCCCAGTGATGAATGTAACTATATTGTGTACCCCAAAAGTACCAATAAACCTAACGGGAAAAAATGAATTCACTGGCTTGTTGGGGCACAGCCAGCAGTGCACTTTATTGGATATCAGATCCAGACTTCCCTCTGCATAAATATTCCTCAGCTCAGCCACAGACTATGAAGAAAGTGCACCAAGGGAGAGCTGTAGAGAAGTTTGACAAACCAGGCATGTTGCTCTCTCAGTCCATCCATCCTTCTCTTCCTGTATCCCCACTTTTCTTCTCTCATCTATCTGTTTTTCTCTGCTTCAGTCATCTCTGTTCTCAATAAAGGATCTACTACTTGTGCTCTATTTATATTTTTAACTTTTTAAATTTGTGCTTGCAGCATAAAATTGTGTTCACTGTGCATAGTTGGTACATTTGCATAACAGATTTTAATTCTTTTACTTCCCCCTTTCCTCTCCTTCCCTTGCTCCTCCCTCCATCTTTACTGCCCCTTTATTTGCAAACTATCCATACCTGTTTCCTATTCCTATATTTTTCCTATTCCTATATTTTGTTGTGCACTTTAAATTATATATACTAAGAGAAACTATGCACTATTTAAGCGTGTGTGTTTAATTTATTTCACTTAATATTATAGTCTTAAAGAGCATCCATTTTCCTACAAATGAATCAAAGTTATCCTTCTTTATAGCAGAGTAGTACTCAACTGGGCATAATAGCATTTTCTTTATTCATTCATCTGTTCATGGACACGCAGACCATTTGCAAGATGTAGCTGTTATGAGATGTGCTATCATAATATAGTAAGAATGTCACTATAAAATGATGTCTCAATTTTGGTAAGATATCTACAAGGAGAATACAGCTGGATAGAATAGAATTTCTAGTTTTAGCTTTCTGGGAAATTTCCATACTAATTTCCATAACAGTTGCACTGGTACATATTCCCATCAAGAATGTAGGAAGGCTTTTTTCCCCCCCCTCTGGGTACTCACCATGTTTGTATAAGGTAATAAATATATTAAACACAACTTAGGAAGATCACTGAAAGTATTAGTAATGTATCCCTGGATTTATGTTCTTGAAATTCACAAATCCCACTTTATAGTATGGTCAAGATGCAAATTCAAATTATAACTGCAAGTTGGAGGATTCATACGTGGCATGGATTAGAGAACAAGAGGAAATTGTTTTGGGCAGTTGGAAAGTACAGATTGATTTTCTAAGAACAGCAGCTGGCTATTTCTTTCCTACCCTCAGGAGACTTAAATTCACATTTCTGTAAGTATTTTTTACACTAAACAAATACACTCTACACCCACCCAGGTCAAAATTAGGACACTGTTGCAGCCAGAGGATATGTCAATGAAAATAGAAAAACAGATGTATACAGTACTTACCCAGGAGGTCATTTTGAGGAATCTAGTCTATTACTTTTACATTTTGAGCTAATTTGACATCACTTGGCTAAAGAGAATGACTACACTTTCATATCACTCCTTGGGAGAGGTTAGCAGAAGCATTGTTCACCTCCTTAATGATTTCATGGGTCTGGTACCTGCTCACAACAGAGCCCAGGGCCACTGGAACAAAACTGGAGTCATTAAACTTGTCAATGAAGTTCCCTAAGTCCTGAAAGAGGTAGCAAATAAAATTAAGTCACAGAGTTCTTTCTGAAAGCTAGGTGGCTTTGAAATGATAGAGCATGCAGTAATCTACCTTCCTTTAAATGCCTACTGCTCACTCTCTTGGAACACTTTTCATAGCCCATGATATATCTCAGTTGTCAGGTATACTGTGGGTGGTCTGAGAGGTCACTGTTATACCTGTCAACATTTCCCATTTAAATATGTTTGGAAAACTATTCATGAATTTGAAGGGCTGTACTTGTTAGTAGCCATCACAACAGTTCATATTGTGTATGAGATACTTATCGTGCAATGAGTCATTAACATTTCCCAGTCTTCAGTGTTCATTTTGAACCATATTTTATGAAATTACAAAAGTGCAATGAATGGATATCTTTCTTTATTGAAGTCCTGATGAAGTTTCAGGATCATGCTTACTCCCATTATAATTTCTGGGAAATATGGAGATTTGGGAGTTTTCCAATGATGGACTAGAACCTTAGTTTCTAGGAGAGTGGGTGTTCTTGTCAAGTAGTTGGCCTTCTGAAGACAAAGGAGAAAAAGCTGGAGGAATATAGCTATCATATGTATTAGAGGCAAATTGAGTAAGACTCTTTCCACTACACCTAATACAGAATTTAACACTTTGGCTTCAAAATTTTGTGTCTTTTTGATACACTGACATTAGTCACCTATCCTCTACCTATCTTCTAGGTGATTAATACCTAGGGAATTAGAAAAGCACACTTCAGAGTGTGTCTGAAAGGTCATGGATGTATGACCTTGGATAATATGCTTAGACTTTAGCCCCTTACTCTCCGGGGCTGCTCTTCTTGTCTTTGTGGCTGCCATGAACTAAACAGCTTTGCACTACCATACTCTTACACCATAATATTGCTATGAAGCCAGACAACAATAGACTGAACCATCTGAAAACCTGAGCCAAATAACATCTCTTCTTCTTTAAGGTGTGTGTATTAGTTATATTGTATAGGAAACTTGACTAATAAAGAAATTGGTACTGAAGTGTGGTTATTGCTGGGACTATACCTAACCACGAAGTTCAGAAGCTTTTGTAATAATTTGTGGGAGAAATTTTCAAAAGTTTGGCAATTCTGGATACAGGAGTTCTAGAACGCTGTAAGCAAAATCTAATAGGTAACTAAATCAGAGCTCAGAAGACTAGAATGCTGATAAAAATGTAGATAGTACAGTCAAACTCATGTGGTGTCAGATGGAGACTATTGGGATTTAGAACACAGGACTTGCATATTACGTTCTGGAAAGAATTTGTCTACTTATTGCACATGTCCTGAGACTGCAGCACTTTTAGTTTATGGGCTATGCACTCATCATCTCATGAAGGACATTTCAAGGCAACACAGTGTTCAGCTGGCAGAATGCATACTCCCAGCTGCTTTTAGTGAGAATCTAGGGGAAAGAGCAGAGCATAAATATTTCAAAATATTAAATTTTGTCCTGGAAGGAACTATATGGAAAGTTGAGGGTCAAAGGATGTGTGGATCCAAGAAATGAACAACTTTGAAGGTAAGAAGGTTTTCTGAGTCCAACTGTAGAATCAGAAGCATCCTGCCTTATCCATTGCATCCTGAAGTGTGTAAAAGCCTATCAAATAAATCCTCATATAATATCTGATATAAATTTGAGAAATATGTATTCTTCTACTATTGGTTAGAATCACTCTGTTTCTCACGGATCTAGTTGGTTTGTGGTGTTATTCTAAGTGACTTTCTTTCTGACTATATATCTAGGTAATCTTTCCATTGTAAAATATGGAATACTAAAAACTCCAGCTATTTTTGTAGCAATGTATACTTCTCCCTAATGTTTATACACCCTTTTCTTCATCTACTCTTGTACTTTGTTGTTTGGTATATGTATGTATATCACTCCTATCTTTTTATAAATGGTTTGTTTCAGGAACAGCAAAAAAAATATTTATAATGTTGTAGTCATTTATTTTAATATAAACATAAAATTTTATATTATTAGATGTCCACTGCCTCTTGTGAATGCTTTTTACCAAAAAAAAAAGTTGCATTTGTCAGATTTAAAAAATAGCAACCTCACCTCTATTTAATCCTCAGATGACTCAAAGATTGACTTAATACCCTATGCTGGTCAATTTTTCAGAGGCTACATAAAATACTCAGTATTCATAACTGAAAAGAGGACAAGTACGTTTGCGTACAGCGGTAGTGGTCTCAGTCAGTTGGCTCCGAAGGAGAAACGTTGTGGTAGAAGGCTTGGAAGTACGAAGTGCTGCCTTCGTGGTGGCCGTGAAGCACAGCACAGCTAAAGACCACCAGCAGTGTGTGCGAAACATCTCCTTACACTCGCAGTAACTCTGTGCGAGGTCATTTGGTGCTAAACGTTACAACTGCCAAGGAGGAAAATACTGAATTACTGCTAAGAATTAACCATAAACTACTTCATAATTAATACAGGTTCACAGTTCATGCCTGTGGTTTTGTGTTTGTTGTTTTGTGTTTTTTTTTTAAGTGCACAAGATTTAAATTTATGGTTGTGAACACTGTTTGTCTGTTTTTCTAAGTAGATTCACAAGATGAATAAAAATTCACTTTTCTCAGTTAAAAAAAAAAAAGAAAGAGCACCAAAGAGGAAGGGGAGAGGACCAGGTGTAGACCCCCTTGTCACATCTCCTTGACCTACACAGACATACCCACAAGGGTGCTTTACTCATACCCTGAGCGGTTCCAAAGAAAATCAAGTTGACAATTGAGCTTAAACATCACATACTATAAAATGTACTTTTAACAGTGCTTTATCATTTATTTATCCAAAACATTTCCTTTTTTTCTCATTGAGTTTATTGGTACATTTTAGGTATACAGTACAGTTACATTCATCATTGGGATCTTGTACCTTTACAGGACAGGTCTTGGTTTTCTCATTTTTTCTCCATACCCCTGCCCTTCCTTCACGCCCTCCTCCCTTCCCTATTTACAAATACTTTATTTCCATTTTCTCATATTTTCCCTTATTACCTTTTCCCTGCCCTACCCACTTCTCTTACACTTTTAGCCCTTTTCTTCCTATCTCACATTGTCAATTATATCGTTAGGATCTTATGTACCATTATAGTTTTTCACACCAGGGAAACTATTCAGTATTGACCCATGTGTGACTTATTTATTTCACTTAGGAGCATATCCTCAATATGTATCCATTTTCCTATGAATGAATCTAATTTCTCATTCTTTATGGCTGAGTACTATTCCATTTTAAGGAAAAACCACATCTTCTTTATCCAGTCTCCAACTGATGGACAAATAGGCTCTTTCCAAGTTTTAGCTATTACAAACTGTGCTGCTATAAACATAGGTGTGCATATATCACTGTGATATATTCTTTTAATTCTTTTCGAAATATACCCAGTGGAGGGATGGCTGGGTCAAATGGAACCTCTAATCCCAGCTTTTTCAGGTATCTCCATATTGATTTCCATAGTGGTTGCACCAGTCTGCACTCCCACCAACAATGGAGAAGGTAGACCACAATGTTAAGTGAAATAAATTAGACACACAAACATAAATATATGGTTTCTCTTATATGAGAAACATAAAGGATAAATAATTTCAAGGGCAAGATAAGAGACGATAAGAAACAAGGTGAAAGATCATTTGCAAATAGGAAAGGAAACAAGAGATGCTGGGGAAGAAGAGGGAGCTAAGAAGAAGAGGGTGTAAAAGCATTAAGATGTGCTGTTAGCATTTACCAACTCCTCACAATGAATGTAATCACTATGTACTAATAAAAATTTTTAAAAGGTGACAGCAGCACACCTGCTCAAGGAGAATGGAGCTTTCCAAAAATGGGTACAGTTCCTTCTTTTCCTTTTTGATTCCATCCAGTCTACACTGCATTGATCGGTGTCACCCACAACCGAGATGGTATTTGTGCCCTCAGCGTGCAGGCCTACATGTCAGTTGGCCACGGGCCCACACTGAGCTGTACATTAGTGATCTGCTAAGCCTTTCTTACTCCAGCCAACTTGAAATGGCACAGTTACAGTCATAATTGTTTTCTCAAGGCCTTTTTCAGTATTTATGAAGAAAGCCATACAGTTTTTCTTGATATATAAATATATATATGTAAATTCCTGTAATATTATATAATGTGTACATTTCTTGGAAAAAACTAAACTTGCATAAATCCTGCCATTTTTTTAAAGTAGTAGTGGATTGTTTTAGCTAATATGTATTCATCTTTATTTTTTGTTATTCACAGAAATATTGTTTCCTTGTCATGCTTAAGGCGTTTTGCCTTAAAATCAATTCATATTATTCTTGTTTTTCATTTTTATTCTTGTGATACTCTTTTTGATGCTATCTTCATTATATTTAGATGTCAATGATGTGCCAGGCAGGAACAATTTTGCAAACAAAACAATAAAAGTATTGTTCTTTATAATTTATATTTGAGAAGAGAGATGAGCAATATAGCATAATAGATTAGTTAGCAATAAAGAATGTGGTGAAACAGAGAAGGCATTTATGAGAGATGGCTTCATCCTAAAGACCTGGAAGAAGAGGCAAGCTCACCATGCAGATGCTTGGTGTTTAATAAATGAGTACATGCAGAGGGGCACTTTTATGGCCAGTGTTTCTAAGTCTGGTGTCTGATAACAATCCTCATAGCCACGCTAAGTAGCATTACATTATATTATGAACTATCTCCTTTTATTTTTTTAACAAAAAATAAGTCTGAGGTTGAGTTTTGACAAGTGCCTAACTTTACCAAGGTCCCCAAACACCACGTTAAGAGATGACCCTTTCATATCAATTTTAATAATTTGTGAAGTTTTTACTTTTTGTATACATAGTCATGGTGCTAAATTAAGGCTTCTCTTCATTTGGCTTTTTAGTTTGCTCTTCTTGTCTTGTTATTAGTAACATAAATTGTTGCATAGAATCGGTGATTGTCTTCTGGCTTTCAAAGGAAAAGATTGTAGCATTAATGATTACATTTGCAGTTTTGACTTCTCTGTCCACATAGAGAGATACATATCCTTTATTGGAAAAAAGAATTCTTGAATTTTTGCTAAGGATTTTAAAATCATAAATGAATATTAAATTTTATCAAAATGTTTTCTGAATCTATTTGAGATGGTCACATGATTCTATCCATTTGACCTATTAATGTTATTTGTACTAATGACTTTATTTTTAAAATCTTTAAACTTTTGCAATATGCACATAAGAAAAATGTATAGAATATAAATATATAATATAGTGAATTTAAGTATAAACTTGCTTATTTTAAAAATGCTACTTTTTTTATATATCCCTGAGTCAAAAGTATTATCCTGACTTTCATAGGAAATCACTTCATTTGTCTTTCCTTATAGTTTGGCCAACTTTACTCAAAAATTTAAACAATAATATTAAGTTTGGGGCTATTTTTATTATTTTGCTGTTTGGTTTTGTTATTTTTTTTATCACTTCACTTTTCCTCCTTTGGAAGCTATATCCTGCTTCTATTCTTTCAATGATTACTACAATGATTATAACATTCATCCTTCTCAAAATCTAACTTACAAAGAAAATTTAAATGTTTTTATCATAATGAACTGATAAATGTTTAAGGAAACAAATTATACAGATTTCAACATTGTCCAATGTATATGAGATCTGATTGAGAAATAGGATGAATGTGTAATTTTAAGAAATGTATTGCTATAAAAAAATATACATTGCCAGTAATCCTCCTTATTCCCCCTCACTTCAAGCACACTATTTTTTTCTCATTGAGTTTATTGGTACATTCTAGGTATACAGTACAGTTACATTCATCATTGGGATCTTGTACCTTTACATGACAGGTCTTGGTTCTCATTTTTGCCCTTGTCCCTGCCCTCCCTTCAAATACACGTATTCCATCATTTTTGCTACTTTCTGAAGCAATTTTGGCAATCCTTTTTCCCGTCTTTAATTGTGTTGGAATGGCTGCCTTTGTGTCTTGATTTGATTCAAAATATTTACCTTTCATGGTCATTTTGACTCTGGGAAAGAACCACAAGTCACAGGGTGCTGGATCCAGTGGCTAAAGAAGATGCAGACACACCACGCATGCCCGCTTCTCCATTGGATGGCGCTCAGCAGCAGCCTTTACCAAACTTCTTTTTAATCAGACCTCATAAATACACGCACAAAGGGAGTCTTCCAGAACAGCTTCAGTAAGTGGCAGGAATGGTGGGATGAGTGTGTGCAAAGCGGAGGAGTATTTTGAGGAGGATAAATGGCAATGTGTGTTTTGCTGTAACAATTTATTTCAATGTAAACATTCACCATACTTTTATCACACCTCATACATGTATCAAAACATCACATGGTACCCCATAAATATGTATAATTTTTATGTTTCTATGACTCAGTTTAAAATAAATTTAAATTTTATAGTGTTTAAGTTAAGTAATATCTTTACCCTCCTACTGGATATTGCCACAAACTTCTAACATTATAATACCATTCCTCCACTTCATATTTATATAAGGAGTTGTATAATTTAACTTTATCTAGTCAACATTTTTATTATAAAATAAAATGTACGTGTAGAAACATAAAAGTCTGTACTACTCAGCAATTAATTGCAAAGTGAGCACCTATAAAACCATCTCTGAAATCAAGACACGGAAGTCATGCAGCAATCCTGAAATCATCTTAATCACTAATCGTTTTTCTCCTCAAAGGTAAGCAATAGCCTGATATAGACAATTTATTCCTTGCTTTTGTTATAGTGTTACCACAAGCCATTCATCTTTAAATGCTACAGTTTAGGTTTGACAGCTTTTGAAATTTATGTAAATGGAATTATTATATTTTTAAACTTTCCTTCTTTTGATTTTTTTTTTCTCATTGAGTTTATCTTGTACCTTTACATGACAGGTCTTGGTTCTCATTTTTTCCCTTATCGCTGCCTTCCCTTCACTTCTTCCTACCCTCATTTACAATCCTTCTTTTGATTTTTACTGTAGTTGTGAGTTTAACCTATATTATTTTATGGCAATAATTAATTCACTTTAATTTACTCATATATCTGTCTATCCAGTTGGATAATATATCCATTGTGTTGGTTATATTGTTTATAGTTGTGGTTATTATAAATAGCGCTTACATGAACATTCTTTTATGTGTCTCTTGGTACATATATACACATATTCTTGATCTTACAGTGAAATAGTTGGGTATACTTGATTCAGCTTTAGTAGATATTACCAAAATAGTTTTTGTTTTTGGTACTGGAAATCGAACTCGGGTCTTTACGCTTGTGAGGCAGGCAAAATATTTCTTTAAATATATTTACCCCATTATTCCCCTCAAGCCCATCCCCTCCCTATGTACGGAAGCTGTTTCCTTTTTTCCTTCTATCTTCACTTCGTTGCTTGTCCCTTCCTTTCTCTCTCCTTCCTCCCTTGTCCAAACTACTTTTAAGATGATGGTACAGCTTATACTCTCTGCCCTACTGCTTCATTCTTGCCAATATTTACTACTATTATTTTTAAATTTTGCCATTCTGATGGGTATGCTGAGGCACTTTAATTTGCTGATCAATAACTCTAATGAACACAATATATGGATTATATTTAGATATCCCCCCAAAGACTCATGCTGTCATGGATGGGTCTTTTCAGAGGTTGCTTGATATAGGGTGTGTAAATATGGATTATGGATGTGTGATAACTAAATTATCACACTGCTGATTGGGTTAACACAGTGTTACGGTCAGGGTGGACAATGGATAGGGTCACTCTGAGTGTGGGTGTCACCAACCAACAGGCTTATAGCCAGACTGGAATAAAAGGGAATGAGAGGTCCCGATGCTCCTGCTTGCCGTTCTACGAGCTTTCTCCTGAGCCAGCGCCTCTGCCGTGCTGCCTTGCGTTGGAGCCAGCTGATTATGAACTGAAACCTTTACAAACTGTAAGCTACAATAAACCTTTTCTCCTTTAATTTGTGAGCACTTTGTTCCAGCAATGAGGCAGTAACTAAGACATTGAATATTTTATTTTGTATAGGGAGGGCCTGATCAAGTTTTTCTTTTACTTTAATCTACGATTCCACTAGATGCAAATGACCTTGAAAACGTAATGTAGCTGTAGTACACAGGAAGAGAAAATGAATTTTCTGAGCAGTCTATAATTTTGTCACTTAATATAAAACATTTCAGTGTGTTAAATTTGTTCATTTTTATTTCATAAAGGGTGTGGATTTTTCTAATAATTTTCTTCATCTAGTGAAATTACCATAAAATTCTGCTTCTCTTTGCAGTCAGATATGAAGCCTTATTACCCTGGTAATCTTGCTTACAAAGTTGCGTTGACTTGGTCCTCTTGACTTCCATAGGGTTGCTATTTTTGGCGGGGGGTACTGGGGATTGAACTCAGGTCCTTGCGCTTGCGAGGCAGGCCACCGAACCACTGAGCTAAATCCCTGGGCCCCATAGGGTTGTTTGTACTCTACTTTGCAGGCTGAGAAACAGCTATTCCCTGAACTCTAAAGAGCAGAAAATAGAACAGATGTTTCTGTGGTTATGTAGCATTGTCTACATTTGGATAATGAATGTACATATAGATGTACATTTTTTCCATTTCCTGGAAGGTCAGTCTTTTCTGTCCCTGTTCAGAGAATGATTTACATTGCTTTCTCGATCCATTCCTTCGTCAAATCACATGAATGGGCACCATTCTAATATTTAAAATACATTACTGAAGAGAACACATTCATAAAACTTACATTTTGGGGACAGTGCACAAACAAGGAGGCATAATGAATAAAATATATAGTATGTGAGAAGATGAAAGTATACAGAAATAAAAGAATTAGTCCAGTTAAGAGGGCTGAGAATGCTGAAGCAGTAAGGAGTGGCTTTAATGGATAATGAAGTTTCTAATTTTAAAAAAGGTAGTTGGAGGTCAGGGATTTAGCTCAGTGGTTCCACCACCTGCCTTGCAAGCATAAGGTCCCGGGTTCAATCCCCAGTACTAACAAAAAAAAAAAAAAAAAAAAAAAAAAAAAAAAGGAGTCTCATTGAGAATGATGAATTGAAATCCAATGAATTCAAAGTTAGTTAAAATTTTACAAATGGATCAGTATACCTTACTGCAGCACTTCTCCAACGTGCATCCCGACACGCTGTTGGTTACTCTTATTCACTTAAATTTATGGATGTTATCTTTTTAAATCTACAGATCCTCTCTCCCTCCATCCCTTTCTTTACTTTGTAATTTATCTGTTGAATAACCCAGAGAATTTGAAACTTTCAATCCCAGACCAGTGCTAAATTCTTAACCCCTTTGTTCTGCAGTTCCTACCCCTTTTTGAAACCTTCTTAGATAAGCAGCTACTAGATCTGGTTGTCCAGAATGCAGACAGCCACTGTGGACTCTCCTGCTTCTGATTGTTAATCTATCTAAAACATTCTACTGATTCTTTCCTTCTAGAACCCTAACCAATACATTAAGAAAGCACTCTACCACAGAGCTACATCCCTAGCCCTTTTTTATTTTTAAGAGACAGAGTGTCAGTAAGTTTCCCAGGCTAGTCTTAAACTTGGCAACCCTTCTGCAGGCTCCCAATTACCTGGAATTACAGGCAGACATCACCGTGTCCAGCCTTATTTTTGAGTGAGATTTTTTATGCATAGTTTTGTTTAGATGTTTTCATATTTGTGTTGTAAATTCCGCATCAGATGTCTTTTGCAAATATTTTTCTTCCAGCCGCTGGCTTGTCTTTTCATTCTCTTACAGTGTATTGTTCAGAGTGAAGTTTTAATTTTAATGAAGTCTAACTCTCAAACTTTTCTTCAGTGGATTATAATTTTAGCATTGTATCTAAACACTCATAGACAAACCCAAGATCACCTGGATTCTTTCCTGTTATATTCTAGACATTTTGTAGTTTTGAGTTTTACTTTTAGGTCTATAGACAATTTTGAGTTAATTTTTGTGAAAGCTATAAGATCAGTGCACAGACACATTTTTTGCATGTGGATGCTCAGTTGTTCCAGTACATTTGTTGAAAAAAACTCTTCTGTCCATTGAATTGCCTTTGTTCCTTTGTCAGATATGAGCTTAATTACTTATATGGATCTATCCCTGCGTTATTTTGTTCTATTTATCTATTTATTGTTCACTAATACCACAATGTCTTAATTATTGAATCTTTGTTACCTTTTTTCAGCTAGGGTTAGTCCTCTGAATTTGTTCTCTATTGAGTTAGCTCTTCTGAGTATTTTACTTCTACATATGAACTTTAGAATCAGTTTGTCAATAGCCGCAAAACAACATATTAGAATTTTGGATTGAATGAGGAAGAAATTATATCTTCACAATATTGAGCATTCTCCTTCATGAATATGGATTATCTCTCATTTATTTAGTTCTCTGATTTCTCATCAGAGTTTTGTAGTTTTCTTCATATGGCTCTTGTACAGACTTTCTTGGATTTACCTAAGCATTTTTGGAATGCTTATATGTTATTGTGTAATTTAAAATTTCAATTATTTATTTTTGGCATATAGAGAAGTAAATTGCTTTATGTTTCTTGGTAAGGCTAGTTAAAATTCTATCACTTTATCCATCTTTTAACAGAGCCACCTTTTGGATTTGTTAAATTTTTCTTTTTTTTCCTATTTTCAATTTTATTGGTTTCTATGCCAATTGTTTCAACAATGAGCACAAATAAAGTAACTGTGGTACCTAAAACATATTTTTTCACACTATTTAATTATTTATCTTAAAAGATTCTTTTGTAAAGTTTGCTAATAAACTTTTAAAGAAAAAGAATGCCCAAATCTACTTGAGTTTATCTCAAATGAAATGTATAAACAATTAACAAAATTCTTCGTAATTATAGAAATGTAGTTTATTTCATGCAAGGCTACAACGATTTTCTATAATTTAACAACTAATCATATAAACATTTCAAAAAATTCATTACATCACAATAAATTACAGTACTACAAAGGAACTACAAGTCAAAGAGTTGGTCAAAATCAAACTCAGAAACAATTATGCATAGATAAGGTCAAAAAATGCTAACTTACACTTATAGGTAGCACTTTGCAGCTATTTACAAATACATATTTGAAAGTGTAGTAAGAATTTGCAGAGAAAAATAGTTAAACCTACAACCCATTGGCCAGATAGGAAAACATTTGTCAGATCAGGTAATAATGGCTCATTAAAGATAAATTTGGCATCATGCACTAAAAATGAACATTGTTAACATTATGTGAAACTATGATCAGTTGTACGTTTGAAAAATTTATCTTCTATTTCACCTAATCAACTGAATTAGAGATAGGGAAAATAACAAGCACTTTACTAACGCAACACAGAATAGGCTTTTGGTACAATTTGGTTGGGTTAAAAAACAAATCTATATAGATATTATAGATATGATGTAGGAGTGTTCCAAATTCATGTTATACACTGAACTTTAGAATATTTTTCCTAAGACCTGGTCAGAACTTATCTGAGAAAAAATTTAAAATTGTAAAAGCAATATTACAATCAGTTACTTAAAAAAACAAAAAATAAATAGCAGGAAGTAATAACATCAATATTTGAGCTCTTTTATATTTTTCAATGCCATAATTTATAAATATATATTAGAGTACAATAATTCAAAAGACAGGTCTACATATTCTCTACCTTCTAAATTGAGAAAAATTCAAGTTGGTTTCAAAATATGGACAAAAACAAATCCACTGGATTGCTTAAAAAAAAAATATATATATATATATATATACAGTCTCTCCCCTACAACTTGGGCAGTAGGCAGAAAAAATGTTAGCCAGCATTGTTTTGATAAAGACAGCAGCTCCAAGTAGGTTGATGAGACTTGTTAATAATGTCAACTCTAAATGGTGCCGTACAGTTAAGTTATGACTTTACATATGTCTGCCCAAGTAAGATGCACTTTCTATTCTTTTGAACCAAATACAGTAAAATTTTCCTTTTTCAAAATACTTTGAGATCAAGATAACTACAAAAGAAAAGGTTTTCGGAGGGGAGTTAATTAAAAACAAATACATTTTAAGATACCTATGACAACAGAAATGTCAACAGTCTTGCTTTATTAAGAAATGTACTAGCCAGATATATACCTATAATCCTGGCTACTCAAGAGGCTGAGGCAGGAAGGTCACCTGAGCCCTTAAGTTCAGACTAGCCTGGGCAAAATAGGGAGACCTTGTCAAGAAAGGAAAGGGGAGGGGAAAGGAAGGGAGTAAACAGGGAGTTGAAGAAAGGAGAGGGCAGGAAGCAAGGGGAAAACAAGAGGGGAGGGGAGAAAAGAAAGACTTAATGATTTAAAAAGTATAACAAAGCCTCAGCTGACCTCAATGACCAAATCTTTGAAAAAAAAAAAAATGAAATTGTACTTAAACCAGGCTGGGCATGGAAGGAATTAGAGGTAAGGACATGATCCCTGTCCAGTGGGAAGGGGAGAGCTACTGGAGCTGACAACTCATAGGGTCTGGTCTCTTGGAGTTTGGAAAGGAGATAACTCGGCCAGGTATCTCAAGTATCTGGGCAGGAACAAGTCACTGAGTTAGAAGCACTTTACACAGAGAGGCATTCATTTTTAAGAAAACTTCCTGTAATCTTGTTATACTGTTTCAACTCTCCTAAGGAAAATTTCAATAATATATTATCATTTATGAATTTCTGTTTATGAAAAAAGGTCTCAAGGTTCTGAATGTTTTGGGATTTGTTTTTGTCCATTTTTTGGAAATACATTTTTAAGGGAAAACATTACACTGAAATAATATTTCACTGACATGCCCTCCTTAATGATCCAAGTAAGAACATACTTGACAGTGTACTTCATTTCCTTTCCGATGTGGCGTGGTTGTCTAGCAAAATCTGTTTCACTACTTTACATCAAGTACATTACTGTTATTACAAGTAGTGGGAATTGTAGACAGATGTAGTTCTTTTTTAATGTACTACCCATCAAAAAAAAAACTGTATATGCAAAACAAAAGAAAAATCTATTAGCACTTTGAAAGCCATACCATAAAGAGAGGTCTCAGAAAGGAAGGCATAAGAAAGGAAACAGTGACAAAAATAGCAGAAAAGAAAGACAAAACCTTAAATCCATTTACTTAACATTTAGTACAATCTAGTATACTTCAAGTATGCTAAGGTTTCTCAGGAACGTGTTTTTTAGTGCAAATATACTTTATCTTTTGACTTTCAGGCTTAGCCCACTCAAATCACAAGTACAAAACTTATCTTATTGAACAGTGTGCATTTTAATATAGAGAATGTATTTTTCCCTATGGTAATAATACACCACTAAGAACATTCCCTAAAACTATTAAATATATTGAAAATGAAGTTTGCTATTGAACATAAGTGAAATTCCTTCATTAACATGATAAAACATACTTTAAAAAAAAGCATACATGTTGACTTTCCTACCTACATTTAGCTTTATTCTGCTTAAATTTCAGGATTGATACTTTAAAGAAATAGTAGAAAAAAAAAACCAAATTAACAGTATTACTTTTTGAATTTTTGCATTGTTGAATTCTCTGATCTAGCCTTTGTAAAGGGAAGGGTAGTTTCTTCCACTTTTGTAAAAAGAGAGCCTTTTGTGCCATGAAATTATTCTAAAGCCCCTGTATTCATTTGGAAGAGAGCTAATTTTTAATATTTAGATAAATGCTTTATTTAGGAATGTTTTTTAAGTTAAGCATAGTGGCATTTGGGGAGGCTGAGATAGGACTGTAAATTTAAACACAGCCCAGGCAACTTAGCAACCTGGTAAGATCTTGTCTCAAAGGAAAAAAATTTTAAAAAGGGATGGGATATATCTCAGAACAAGGGCCCTGGGTTCAATCCTCAGTGCTAAACCAAAAAAAAAAAAGTTTTTGACCAAAAATGCTCTCTTGATTATAAGTTATTTGTGTCATTAAAAACTTAAGTAGCAATTTACAAGTGATTCATGAAATTTATAGGTCAGTATTACTTTCTGCAATGGTTATTCTGAATCACTAGCTTACTGAATATCCTTGCTTAACTATTTAGAAAAATAATTTAGAAAACTCTAATCAGATACTCATTATCATGTAAGAAAGAAATCAAAAAGTAATCACCAGAAATAGTCTTTAAGAAATGCACTTTGCATGTAAAGTACATGAATTTAGTAGCAATATTTTACAATTGATGTCATTACATGTTAATAAGCTTCTCAAAATAGAAAACTTTTTGTATATATACAGTTTTTTACATAAGATGGTTTAACAAATATTAACTTAGTTCCCTAGAAATAAACTCTTAATCTTCAGGGGTTTAATCAATGCCTTTCAAACTCAAATTTATTCTTTATGAAGACTTGGGATCACAGAACTAACCAAAAATTATTTTAGAAATAACTCAAAAGTCAAAGCAAATCTATAATAATTATAATGTATACATACATGTGCTTCAATTATTGTTCAATTTAATAAAGGAAAGAGTAATATTCCTTTATATATCCTATCAATTTTCACCTATAGCACTATAAAAGTTAGTTATTAAAGTAACTGGATAATCTCTTTCTGCTTTTTTACAACAGCATCTGAGTTTCATAACAAAACATGATAAGAAACATTATTCTTAAGAAAAATATTTCAAAGTAAACCCAAATACTAAAACAGATCTTCACAGGACTTTTGATGAATTAATTCAGACAGAGCTTTTGCATTAAGGACTTGTAAGATTTTCTGTGACAACAAGAAACTGGACCCCTTTCTGGGACCATCGTTTTCCTACCCAACACCTTCAGGTGCCACTAGGGGACAGCACAGACAACCTTTCTTTTGTTTAAATTCCTACACAAAAATCTCAGTTCAACTCCCTCACAATAGTTTTGTGAGGTAGATCATCAGAGAAATAGCAAGTATCTTCTTCATTCTGCAAATGAGGAAACTGAGGCACTGAAAGGTTACATGGTTTGCCCAAAGTATTCACTAAGTCAATCATGAAATTACAAACAATATTAAATTATCCCTTCTCCTGGCTCATTGCTCCTGACCAGACTTCACAATAAAAGGCTATGTGTGTGTCCTCAAATGAGCAGGCTACATGACCTTCAAATGAAAATACAACTATCCATTAACAATTATTTTAAAGAGGATATAATCTCAAAGATTATTAATGTTCAAAGATCAAAAAACAGATGGGCTGTAGGTTTAGCTCAGTAGTAGAGCACTTGCTAGCAAATACAAGGCCTTGGGTTCTATCTTCAGCACCACAAGAAAAGAAAAAAAGAAAAATATTTAGTACTTGCATAGAACTATGTTTTTTAATTTACATGACAACACTTGTTAAAGAGAAACTAAAATTTTTGAATTTATGACTCAGAGAAAAATTTTCTTCAAGAAACATATAATCATATTATTAGGACAATCCTAAAATACATCTTCAAATGGAGACACTTGAAATGGAAAATGAGTACCAGTAATAATTACAGGGATAGTAAACATTAAACTGAGAATGAGCAGTTTATAATCCCAGCATCCTGGGAGGCTGAAACAGGAGAATCACAAATTCAAGCCAACTTCATGACTGTGAGGCTATCACAAAACAAAACAAAACAAAACAAAACAAAACAAAACAAAACAAAACAAAACAAAACAAAACAAAACAAAACAAAACAAAACAAAACAAAACAAAACAAAACAAAACAAAACAAAACAAAACAAAACAAAACAAAACAAAACAAAACAAAACAAAACAAAACAGGGCCTGGGATGTAGCTTAGTTTGAAAGCTGAGAGTTCAATCCCCAGTACTACCAAAAAAACAAAAATTGAGAGGCAAGCTCAAGTATGCTTACACAATGGTAGTGTGGATTCTACGATAATTATCAATATTTTCAGAGCATTAAAAACCTCTGTAAGCAGGTTGCATTTTGCCATGTTTGCTGTTCAGTAAAACACTGGAGCTTTAAAATGTAATACCTAACTGGCTTAACCACAAAGATTAAAACAGTCAAGTTGAAATAATAAGCACATTTAACCAACAAGTTATTATTATACATTTCTACTCTAATACAGTTTTCTATTTTCTATAAAGCACAATTTAAGTAGTAAATAGTCATGTTTTATCTTTGAATAGCCACATTTTCTTTTCAAAAAGTGTAAACAAGAGCCTTTAAAAGGACAATTCTGCAGAACACTTTGGCTAAGAAAAAAAAACCTATTTATCATTAATACTTAAGATTTCCCTTTGAATGGAATGATCAATACTGAAATCAATATGCTAAATTCTGACAGTGAATATTTCCCTCTGAAATGAAAATCTTTTCTAAAGCAATATCAAGGCATTTTTAAAATCCAGTTACTACAAAGTGAAAAAATGATCTATCACTTGATTGGCATATACATGCTAAAGACACTAACACTATTAGTTGAAATATAATCCTAATTATTCATGCAAAATACCGCACAAATTTGCATATAGATTCAAAAAAGCATTCAGTTAGTAAGTTTTGTTTTAAGACATGGGTTTGTGAATATAGTTATCATTTGAGGTCTCCATTCACTTACATTTCTTTGGGAAATACAGGTTGAACCTATTTTTTAGGAACAGCAAAACTGTAAATCACTTTTAATAAAATGTATGATATTTAGTATGACTTATGGCTTCCCTGAATCTATAAATAACTCTTCTGAAAAAAATTCACATAAAACTGAAGTATATGTTCTCAACATATACTGATCTTTATCATGAATTAAATCCTTCTACTATACTTCTAAGGCAAACACTTTGGGAATGGTATATCATAAATCTTATTAGAAAAGATAATATTCTCTAATAAACTAAGCTGTAATTAACTCATGGTGCCTTTTTGTTATACTGACATTTTTCACCGAGAGTAGGCAGGAAATTATGGGGCACATCTATGTAGATTTTCATAAAATGATGTGTTGATCGTCTTTAGTTGTTTCATAAATTTCTTGAGACTTCAGATATCTTCAAATATTATACTGGAAGACATTGAGAGATATCGTCCACCAGGCTGATACCTAAAAGAAAAACATAAAGAAATGATCTGAGGCCTCAAAAATAAGAGAGGACAGGACACCTTAAAAGGAAGTAAGTACATAATTTGTCAGCTCTGTAAAAATTAATCAGTAGCAAAAAGCAGAAACTTACCTTCCAAGTATATTACCAAAAAGAATTTATAAATACAACAGCAATTGCTTTAGAGCTTCGAATAACATGACAGAGTGAGGGATATGTTTTTAAAATGGGGACAGGTAAGACATATCCAGATTTAATCAGTTTAATAACCACTCTCAGTTGCTCAATATAAATAGAAGATGCTAGGTTTTTGTTATTTATAGGCAATAATACAGCAACATCTTTGTGCATCTGATATTTTGCTTTTAATTATCTCCTTATAGCACAGTTGCTAGCAGCGCAGACTTTCTAGTAAGAATCCTGGAGTCTGAATGCTTGACTTGCCTTTTAGAAGTACCTGCAGGCAAATTACCCAGCCTTTCTGGATTGGATTTATAACCATAAAATAAAATATTGTTAAAGAACTTAGAAATGTGTCTGCTGTCAAGATATAGTTATGCAGCTGTTTCTTAAATATAATAAACATCATAAAGAGAACTGCCAGAAATAGGCATATGTGTGTATATGTATATATATATAAATAATTTCAATTCTTTATTATGTATAATATGAAGATACCAATTTAATTACCACTACTGAGTGGTATAATTTTAAAAATAGAGGGTATGAAATAATATCAATGATTACTCAGTATGCTTTTTATTAGTAGTAAAGATGGACATTTTTCTTATGTTTACTTATCACTTGTTTCAAATCTTGTCAATACGTTATTAAAATTTCAGAGGAATGCTAGAGTCAAAATGACATAATCAGAACTTACCTTCCTGATTCAGATTCAAGAGGATCATCATTGAATGTTTCTGCATTAAAATCCAAAGGCTCTGCATCTTGGAGAAGTTCTATTCGGTCCCTTTCAGTCCTATTATTAGCTCTGGTATATTTGGATGCTGTTCAAAAGGAAAATAAGAGAGAAATGTCTATTTCCTTTTTGTCTTTTCATTTATAAGTCACAATCTATGGTTTCACAGGAAGAAAAATCAGGATTATAAAGGATCTGAATTTTGATTGTGAAAAAAATGTAAGAAAAGATAATTACATAGTTCCTTTAAAGTGTTATTAAAATTATAAACAGTAGAATAGAAAATTTCTCCAGCCTTGCAGCTGTCTAAGCTCAGAAGCAGTTACAATAGACTTAATATGAATTAGAATATTTAACTATGGCATCATAACAATGAAGTTGTTCATTATCAAATCAAGTTTCATTTGGGTACAGTGACACTCATTGTTCGGCTACTACTAAAAGGGGTAATCAACCAAAGCTCTTGAAGAAAGTCCTCAATGTTTTTTCTCATGAAGCACTGGTCAACATATGTAATATGTAACTCCCATATTCAATTTGAAATTTCCTAGCAGCTACGTGAAAAAGACAGATGAAATTAACTTTAGTATACTTAATTACAACACAATAACATGAGCACTAGCCACATTGCAAGTGCTCAGTAGTCATGTGACTAATGATTGCCACACTGAACACTACATATCTGAGAGCTCTCATCTTTCTCTATGGGTGAAGATTTCTTTATAAACAATTTAAATTCTCACGATGTTATTTGAACAGTTTAAGTAGTTTGCAAACAACTTGAGGATATAGCTCTTTTTGAAAACTTAAAGCAACCTATCCATATCTTACATTTTTATCATCTTGGACTCTAAATGCAAGCCTTTTCATTGTTTTATTAATCTTGTGTTCATTCATTCAACCAGTAGCAGTGAACTACCACATTCTAGGTTCTCACTAACTCACCATCTAAGGCTTTGTGTCTCCTCTTCTATTAACCATTCTCCCATACCACCAGGAGTTTCCATTCTGTAAACTTTACAGCAAGCATCCAAATGCCTTTATAGAATCCTATTTCACAGCTTTAACTAAAGCTTTAGCTGTCCACTATTTAGCTTATTCTAAATATTTGAAATAAATCCTTTCCACTTCTGGGATTATTGCTTTATTTTAGACCTTCATCATTTCTCAACTGCTTTATCAAAAGAGACTCTAAAATGGTTTGTGTCACTTCTCTGAAAATCATGCTTTATAGTGTCATCAAATTCATTTTTCTAAGCCAAGTATCTTATCATGCTCTTCTCAGATTAAAATCTTGTTCAAAGATAAAATCCAAGCTTTTGAGCATGACAGTCTGCTGCTGCCCAACCACCTGTGTGGTCTCCTCTCTTATCAGCCTCCTTGTACTTAAGGCACTAATCACAGAGAGGAATGTGTATTTCTTCAAAGGTATTTCTCCATGTGTTCTGCACTCATTCACTCTTCCTTCTGATTAAAAACTCTTCACCTTGCTACATATCATTCAATCCTCAGTACTAAACTACTTATCACAGAAATATTTATTTATTGGACAAATCTTTTCCCAAGATTTCTGATTTCTATTCCCTATTTCTATTCTTCATACCAGATGTGTACCCTTCTGTAACAGCTCCCATGAAAAATCTGCACTAGTCTGTCATTAAAATATTTCTAACATTCCCACTTACTCTTTTGTAGTTTCTATCTCTCTGATGATATTTCCCCATCTGTTCATTCACCTTGTCCAAGCTTTCCATTAGATCTTTTCACAAAGTAATTCATCATTTTAGACACTGTACTGTTTGACAATTCCAATATTTGAATCACTTCTAGGTCCATTATGTTGACAGCTCTGTTAAAGATGACTCATACTTTCTTACTTTCTTAAGTACTTCCTAATTTTTGGTTAAATGCCAGACATTTTCTACAAAAGACAGTAGAAATTAAGATAAATAATAATTATGCCCAAAATGGGCAAACCTATTAGGTAATCGGTGTTGATGGCTGAAATTAACCTCTTTGTGATTTTTAGTTAAACTGGGTTTGGACTTTGCTGTTACTTTAATTCCCTTAGGTCCCCATACATCACACACTTCTTCAGAAATGGACTATCATTATCTTATGCTTTGGAGGGCTTCAAGTGTCAAATGGTTCTCTCTCAGTATAGTTTCCACTTGGCTTTTAGCAGTCATTGAATACCTACCCCATGGGGTGGGGAGTAAGGAGTATGTTTCTACTCTCTATCAGTAGATTACTATTGTACAAAACTTATCATTGGCTGCGGGGAGAGCTCAGATTCCCTGTTTCATCCTCAATCTCATGTAGGTCCCTGAACACTAAAGATTCAGTGGTGGAACCCTCTCAGTATCATTTTATCTCACCCAAAGACATACAAACTTTGCTTTCTACACAGCGCAAGGTTCTAGGCAAACAGGCTTTTTGGCACTTTCCTATAGACAAATGGCTTCTCCATGTCATGGCAGTAAAGGGTCAGTACTTTGGGAAATTTTCTAACCCACACTACTACTGACAGTTTCTGTTTAGTTGTCAGTCCCTCTCTAAAATGTGAGCATTTCACAGAAAAGAAGTTTATCTTCTTAGTATAACTGTAAACATAGAAAAGTATCTGACATATATATGGGTCAGTCAATAAATTATTATAAAAATGACTGAATAACCAAACGAAAAGTACAGAAAAACAACACGGTAAGTAGTAGAAATAAGTACTTGCCTAGAACATGCCTGGGATAAATTCTTATGCTGTTTGAGTTAGTATACTTAGAACTATTAATTTGATATTTTCCTTCCCCTATTAGAATGCATAATTGAGATTCCCTTTCCTTGTACAATATGAAAGAATAGGAGAAAGTTAAGTCACTGAAGATATATGTTTATAAGTCTTACAAAATCGAGGCATTTCCAGATTAGTATCCTAGTTCTAATCTCCACTCAGGCAAATCTCAGGAAAAAAATTCTAAGCAAATTAGAAAATATAAAGTACTTACACCAAGTAGTATTACTATCTGAGAAATTTGACTCTTTTGGATCAGAATGAACATTTCTATTCCTAGTGGAATCTTCTCTATTGTGTCCATAACGTTCTTTCCATTCCTAAAAGGAAATATAAATATGTAACAAAAGGATAAAAATAATTTGTCAGCATCAACAGATTCTATATGCAGAATAACTATTTTCATTAGAAAGGCATTAGTACCAGAATAACTATCATAGTGCCTTTAAAAATCATAGACCAATGCTTTTATTTTTATATATTCATTCAAATCAGACTCCATAAGCATTAATTTTCAATGAAGACATTTATAGATTTTTGCTATGAATTTGTTAAATTATTATTCTATCTAAAATTTAAAGACATTACAACTATAGCAGAGTAAATCTGACCATGTGAGAATCATGAAAATCCACAAATGACATATAACTGTTAATAAAATTTCCTTTCATTCAAATTAGCTACCAATAGTAATGACCTGAAAAGTCATTTTTTGATGGCGCAATTAAAAGTTGTACAAGGCATAACTAGACGATGACTCACACAGAATTATTATCTTAAATATAGTAAAATCACATTAATGAGATAGTACTCAGTAAGTTCTTAGAATTGATATACTCGCTTCAGCAGCACATATACTAAAAGTTCTTAGAATTGAAATGGCCACTAGAAATCACCTAATTTAATCTTCCACGCAGGGTCTCATTCTAAACAATGCTAGATGGCTCTTTGACTAGGGTAACAAGTTTCTACATTTGGGCAGCATATTGCAATTTTGGTAAATGGTGGAAATTAGGAAGTTCCCTTTTTTCCTTCATTTTAACAGTTAAATACATTCAGGTGTTAGAATTTGGTTGTAATTGTGAACAGGTTTTCTCGTTTTTTGCCTAGTTACTTTCTAGGAAGAAGTTACTTTGCCTTAGCAAGTGAAGGACTAAAAGAAAATTAAGGAAAAATAAAATTAATGCCATGTTATCAAAAAGGCATAACAATTTTAAAGCAATCAATACCACTTCAAAGGCATGGTTTCATGAATTTACTCATTCAACAAATATTTACTGAACACATACCTTCGGCAACAAACTGCTTGGGCACAAATTAAGCACTTTATTTTTTAAATTAATTAATTTATTTATTGTACTGAAGATCAAACTCAGGACCTTGCACATGCAAGGAAGGTGTGGCACCACTGAGCTAAAACCCAAGCCCCAGGTAGTTTATTACTAGTAATTTTCTGGAACATCTAGCATTTGCACATGAAACTACTAAAATCCCCTTTCTTTACAAATATATTCTAAGTCATTTTCCTACTGTTTTTGTATCTTTAACCAACTACTCCAAATCAGCAAGACTCTTACTATTTTGAAGTGATTTAATAAATAATGTACTTACTCTTCTTCGATTTTCACCTTCTTCTTGCCTTTGCCTTTTTCTCTTCTCTAGAGACAGAAAAATGGCCTCAAATGTGGTTTAATATTATTTAATTAGACACAGAGCAACTGAAGTAAGATATTTTCCTCATGGTGACCTAAAATCTGTTGCTCTGTAACTTCTCCTCTTTTTAGCTCTATCTTCTAGACTGAATTCATACTTCTTAATTTCTGTTTAGGAGTCCTTCCCCTTGTAACTCTCTTTAGGTTATATATACGCAGATCACACCCCCCCACACACCAAATAAACTATAAGTTTGGCTGCCTTCTTCTAATTTATCAGTCCTATATGTGAAAATCTTACCCAGACGATGTCTAATTAATGCAACAAGAAAAATTACTGTATCAACTCAACACTACCTTCAATGAGAGCAGGGAAAGGCTATATAGTACTTGGTAATTTCAGAAAATGTCTAAATACCAATGTCCCAAAGTCAAATCCCTCCTTCCCCTACATTCTACCATTGCTTGAATATCATTAAGTTAATAAATTCAAGTTTGTGATTAGATTCTAGTAGTGTTATACATTCTAATAATGCTCATATTCTCACATTAATGATCATATTTTAAGAGAAATAGCCTTGGAGTGGATGATTTCCTATGTAGCAGCAAACCAATGACTCTTTAATGAGTTTTATAGTTATATAAAACTTGGCAAATATGTTTCAAAGCAAACATGAAAACATCTCTAAGACAATAAAAAGCTTATTTTAGTTGCAGACATACTATTATTTATGCTGCAGAATTTCTTCTTTTTATTTTTTTGTTTCTCAGTACCAGGGATAGAACTCAGGACTTTGCACTGACAAGGCAAGTGTGCCACCAGTGAGCTAAATCCTCAACCTCAGAATTTCTTAAAGAGAAATTAAACTTTTGTTTTCAATTTATTTTTCCTAAAAAAGACATACATAGAGTTTTAGCTAAACAACAGCACTAATTTATAATGTCTTAAGGTATATTAAAGATTTACAAATTACATAAACATTCTTGTATTTTGTCTTTGTAGTTAGTATTTTGTTTTCATTTACTTTAAAAGATAAATCTTACCTCGTTTGATTAATTCCTTTCCTTCATCAATTAAGTCTGATGTCATATCATTATCTCCCATAAACTGCTGGAAACCAAGCAAATTCAAACAACGGGTTCCCAAACTAATAAAGTAGATATTCAGAAAAACAAGCATTATTTCCCACTGTAAATGTTTAGATAAATTGTTCCTTAGCATTGTCACCTCCAAAGAGGCCAATGCTTCACTATTATTTATTATGCCAAGTTACATAATATTACATCTATCATTTTTTAAGAAGCACTAATTTCCCATCCTAGGAGCCTTATATACCTAGCACTTCTCACACTACAGTGTATAGATTTCTTATGGAAGTAAACTAGTCAGGCCCTGAGTTCAATCCCCAGTACCACACATAAATAAAAAGTAAAAAATAAAAGAAAAACAAAGGCAAATGGATTTAACATTAATAAAATATTCTTCAAAAAGTGGTATTTTTGGTACTTGTGAGGTGAGCAAGGGCAGAGAAACACATCCTTTACATGTCAGAGTGCTAAAAGATGGGCACACCTGTCCTTTAACTTCTCTTGCCTCTCTGTCAAGATTTTATCATTTTCTCTAATCTCATAAAAAGATCAGCCCATGAACCTTTCAAAACTAGAGGAGAATTTCTCCTCCAGCCCTAGATGTACTTCTTGCTTATAATTCCTCCATACCTGACTCATTGTGATGGCTGTGATTTGAAGCATTTAGGAACCCAGCAATAATTATGGGGAAAGCCCTAAAATTATGAGTTATGAGAAAAAATGAAGGTATGAAAAGGTTTTGCAAGCTGTACTGGCTGTCACTGTCAAAGGCCAGGACTTAGGAGTTAATGTGCTATAATTAACTGAATCACTTTGTAGCCTAAATGTAGCAGAATAACACTACTTCTCTTTTCATTAAAGTATCTTTAGAGGGGAGAACCTGACTTGATCATTAAAGCAGTTTCTTCAAACTATCCTTAGCTTCCTCAAAGCCAAAATAAAACAAACAACATCTGAAACACACGAGTAAATATTTCAAGGAGTTTTACAAAGAAAGATACCCATATCCAACTAAGAATATGAGGAAAAATGTTAAATTTCTTACCTAAAATAAGTAGCAATGCAGAGAATTACCACCAACATAGGATAATATATGTAGAATCCATCTGCAATAAAGGATAAAACTTTCATAGAACCCATAATCTGAAGAGCAAAAAAACAAAAGTTTTATCAGCATAGTTCTATATTTTTCATTCCTTTCCATTATTAGAAAATTTGCCCATGACCAGTTATATCAATTTTCTCCTACAGAAAACTAATATCTTATAAATACTACTCAAAATTATATATAAAGTCTATAAACATTGAAGCTAATATTGTTGTAAGTTAGGTCTTTTAATATTACTCAACTAGACAACTTAATGAACCAAGTAATATTTTTTATAAGAGAAGCAAAATCACTTGTATCAAGTCATTAGTAGTTACAAGTTTAAGAGAAAGTTTCAGTAACAGGAATCCAATAATGTTACAAAACTTTTCTGCCAACATTAAAAGAAAGTTTACAATAACATCTCATATATGTAACAAATCTAAAGAATTCCATTCTTTGATCATACTTACAGATGTATAAGCAGTTGGCTGAGTATTCTGGTGAGAGATGGAGGAATCCATATGGGTCAAACCCAAGAAATTAAGACATAAAGGAGGAGTCAAACGGCAAAACAACCTACAGTAAATATTTTTTAAAGAGAAATATATAAAAATAATGTAGAATACATTTTATATTATACTAAAATGTATTCAGACCATTGTAGCTATAATTTTTATCTAGTTGTGTAATATATAGTTTGAATTCTTAATGTGCACTGCCCTTATTCACTTAGGTGACATTCAGAACATCCTATTAATCACACCCCTCATTAAAGCATCGATACCCACAGAGCAAAACTACACCCTCAGGTTGCCTGCTATGGTAGTGTCTGATACTGCTTTATTGGCATAATTTGTGGAGAGACTTTGTATACTTCTTCTCAATTCCACCATCTGTTCAATCCATCTCGGAGTATGATAAAGACAGTAACATCCACAAGGTGAATGGAACTCAGTCCATAAAAGATATAAAGTGGTATCAAAATGTGTTATTCTGACAGGTACAGCTAAGAAGAATTGTTTGTTTTTGTCCAGATAATGAAAAAGTACCTTACAAAACTAGAGTTGAAGAATTGAAAGTGGAAAGGACAATGGGATGTGAATATAAAGAGGTAATATGAGGGGCTGGGGATTTAGCTCAGTGGTTCCACCACCTGCCTTACAAACACAAAGACCTGAGTTTGATCCCTGGTACCAAAAATAAAATAAAATAAAATAAAAATTAAAAAAATAAAGAAGTAATAGGGGAAATTTCTTTTCTGGTAAAAAATTATGTATTTCAATTGTAGTGGCTATAGGAATCAGCACAAACAAATGATGGATTAAAACCTCAAGTGAATGAAATAAGGCTTATAGTGTAGTTGACAGTAAAGTTCTAATGTAAATTTCGTTTTGATATTATGAAAGAGCTATACAAGACTACCACCATTAGGAGAAGCCTGATGTAATATAGACTCTTTGTTGCATATTTGCAACTTTCAGTAAGTCCAAAATTATTTGTAAAGCAAAGGAAACTCCTTAAAATGCTTGAGATATCAATTCCTCTGAACTTCTCTGAGTCTGGCCCTTATAACTATGTCATAGGACTAACTGAAGAGTAAATAATATTGTGCAACCTAGCCCAAGCTAGAGTTATCTCTAAATTCTCTCTAAATTCCTCAAGAAAAAATGTTCCAATCAGTGTTCTCAGCCCTCCTTAAAACAATTTGAGGCCACTGACCTTCAGATTATTCTGCAGGTCTGACTCAGTCTCTATACTCATCTACAAACTGAATCTCAAATTGGTAAACTTGGTTTCACTATGTCTTGCTTAAGTATTCTTCCCAAGTTGGCATTCTTAATTTAACTTTAAACCTCATGAATTTATTATTACCTAATCAATTCGTTCATAGAAATGTAGGTATTAGTGCAACATGCATAAACAAGAAGAAATGAGAGGTCCACAGTGATACACGCAATGGAGACATTTCTGTCTAAACTCAATCCTACTTACATGCCACTGAAAAGTAGACTGTAAGCATCAGTCTGGTGATGTGAAGCCAAGTAATAATAGTTAAATACACGAATCCTGAATACAGTAGAATAAACACAAATACTGAGGAAGAAGATGGAAAGGAAGCAAGCAATCTGGAAAACAATTTGTTTAAGACTAATAAATATCACAAGAATTAATCTGCACTTCCAGATAACATTTACTGATGTTCTGAAATTTAAATACAATGAGGGAATTTTAAAAAGTCATCGAAGATAATGAAATTATGGAAAAAAATCTATATTTCTTCCAGTTTAATATCCCAGATCTTTAAGTTTCAAATCTATCTCCTAAAGTAAGCCTGTTTTCCCATTCCCTTGGAAACTCTTCATAGGAAGACTCTAAGTTACGAAGCTTTACTAGCATAAAGAAGAGCAAAGTATTCTCATTAAAATAATCTTGCACTACCTCGCACCTTTTCATCTCTTCTTAAATATAGCTCTTAGTTTTTATAGTCTGGCTAAACTCATTTTTGGAAGTATGAATAATACCGTAGGAAGCATCACTGTTTGCATTATTACTAGAAGAAATATAGAGAAAAAATATAATAAAGGTTAAACTATGAAGTTAAATATATTTATGATAACTTTAAGATATAAAGCAAACCGACCTCAATATAAATATAATTGTATGTTTTTTCTGCCAGCTGTATGAAGACTGCAAAGAGGGATAAGACAGGAGTTGTGCTAAAGAATGTGCACTCCGACCACACAACAATCACGGAAAAGATGGACAAAACCACAGCAAGAATCCTGTAAAACCATGGTCGTAAAAGACATTCCCAGTGCCATTCTAGAAGATAAAAGAAAAATAAAATTAGGAAAAATAATAATACAGAGAACTTTTGTAAATAATTTAAATACCTACAAAATGTTAGGAAAATGTAAAATGACTTCTATCTCTAATAGCAATCTGCTTTGTTTAGTTCAAAATTAATAGACACTGGAGACACTGACCATGAAATGAGACATATGGCCTCATCTCTAACCTTGAACACTCACTTCCTGTGCACTAGACTAGATAGCTGGAAGAATCTTTTTTGTTTTGTTTTGTTTTGTTTTGTTTTTTTAAGACAGGGTCTCACTATGTAGTGAGACTGACCTGGAACTCACTATGTAGCTCAGGCTGGTCTCGAACTCACAGCAATCCTCCTGCCTCAGCCTCCCGAGTGCTGGGATTACAGGCGTGCACCACCATGCCTGGCAGCTAAAACAATCTTAAGGTAAACTCCCCAACTGCAAAGAACTGCTACATCTGGGTTAAAGTTAACTATCTTGTGACCATGACATAAACTGAGAAATGAAATGTAACCACCTGAATGAGATTATAGCTGTGAAACTCTATAAAAGAAGCTGTAACTCAACAGGGGGTGGATCACTAGCACTGCCTTTTTGAATGTGATTGTCCCTTTGCTGGCAAAATAAACTTTTTCTTTTACTACCATTCAGCTTGTCTCTATGTGTGTGTCACTTGCCAATTCCTTCCACAACAACAAAAGAGTAGCAGGATATTTATACTGTTTCAAAATATATCCAACAAGATAATTATCAAGTGAAAAATAGCAATTTTACATCAGAGGAACCAGATGGACATCACCCTAGCCACGTGATATTTAGTAATGAGACAAACTGATATCCTATATCTTCCTGCTGTGTGCACTGAGAAGAAAATAATGACACTGCTATGGTATTCCTGCCCCAAATGCATAATCTGTATCTAATCATCAGGACATGCAACAGAAAATCTGCACTCTCCACAGGCTTCTATGTCATAAAATGTAAGAAAAGCAGGAAAAACTGTCTTGATTAAAGGAGGCAAAGAAGATAGGGTAACTGAATGCAACAATTTTTTACAGAGAATCTACAATTTTTTACAAAGAATCTACAATTTTTTTACAAAGAACATCACTGGAATAATTAATAAGGTCTGTGAATAATAGCACAGCATCAATAATAATTTCCTGATTTTGATAATAGTAATTGGTTATGTAATAACACATATTTAATTTTAGAAAATACACTCAGAAACATTTAGGAGCAAAGAGGCATCATATCTGGATGCAACTCTGAAACATTAAGGAAAAAATATACACAAAGAAAGATAAAGCAATGAATATGCTAAAATTTTAATATTTGGAGAACCTACGTATATGAGGATATTTTGTGAGATTCTAGTTTAAGTCTGAATTGAAGTAAAAATAAAAGTTAAAAGAAAAAAGAAAGCATAGTAAGTTGTAAAGGCCATATTCATATTGTGGGTCCTAAGAAATAAAACCCAGGGCCTCATCTATGCTGAGTATGTGCTATCTGCCACTCAGCTACACCCTCAGCAAGGCTGTTTTCACTTCATACAATGAGAAACAGAAATCCTGTCTCATAGAACTAAGTCCTTTCAACCTTAAACTCAGCAGTCTCTAGTGATTTCATCATCCACATAGGTAATCCTACTTTGAATACTATTTCTCATTTTCTTTATCTCTTCTCTAATGAGCCTGTTCTCAATCCTACCTCACCCATTTCTATATTCTTCCCTAAACCAAGACACTGGGAGTAGGTACTATTTTATATCTTCTACAAAATCCACCCCTCCATACCTACTCTCAGCATTTTGCTAAGCAAATAGAAATGATCAGAAGAGAATTTCCCCACATTTCCACTATTGTATCGTCTCACCTCTAAGATACATCTGTGCCTTACCTCCTAATTAAAACCCATTCTCTTCACTGTTTACCATTTCTTATCTAATCTTTACTATTCATGAATATTGTTCCAGAATTCTCCACTATCCTATCAAATTTCTTCTCTCTATATCATTCCCATATTACTTGGTATACTTTCTTTTCATATCCTATACCCACCAATCTTCTGTCAACTATCACCCCTTTTCTCTGCTCTTTTGTATAAGAAACACTGTGAGAGTTTTCTACCATATCTTCATTTGCTTTCCTTATATCTTCTAAACCTCACTCAGGCTTTATTATCTTTCTTCCATCTCTCTTCCCTGAAATTTAGTGGGCAAATCTTAGTATTCATGATGCAGCCTATCTACAAAACTTGAAAGGTATGTTACCCTTTTCCACAAAATATTTTACTCTCCTGGCTTTCCTATCTCGGTGGTCTTTTCTGCTTGTACATCCTTATCAACTAATCTCTGAAAATCCGGATTGCTTTAGGTTTGGGCCTCACTTTTTCTCTTCTCTATCCCAATCACTTCTTTGCTGATTTTTTCCTGACCCATGGTTCACTATCCATTGATGGCACCCTAATTTATATTTGCATACCAGGCTTCTACCCTGAATTTCTATTTCTATCACTAATTACCTACTCAGCATCCTTACTTGTACCTGTATGCATTTACTGATTCATTGTCTGTTTTTCTCAATTAACAAAGGCAGGACTTTTTGTCTTTTTAAATTGTTTTGTTTGTTTTTGTTTTGTTTTGTTTTGTTTTTTGGTACCTGGGATCAAACTCGTGTCCTTGCTCTTGCAAGGCAGGCTGCAGAACCACTGAGTTAAATCTCTGGCTGTCTTTCTGAATTGATAGATAAATACAACACCCAACAATATACAAAATTATATGTACTCAAAGATTTGTTGAATAAATGAAAACAGGTATCAGTCACACTGTGTCTTTGTTTAATTAGAAAAAAATCTTTGTTGAAGTTTTCTGAGCTATTTATTTGGTTATTAAATCTTCATATTGAAGACCAAAAATGCAAAAGACAATCAAGTGAATACAGCTGTTAGAATAAGCAAGGTTAATTGAACTTTTTATACACAGACAACTTGGTACATGGATTAAGTTTCTTCATACTAAATTTGATAACATTTAAAAGGAGTGTCATAAGCAATCATAGAAGTGAAAAAAAATGATGATTGAAGTATATAGGTCTCATAAATAAAACTAATGAGAATAATCAAAGAGGATTTCTTAAGGGAATATTTTAATAGACTGTCAAGATTGAAGAGATGCAAGTTTGCAATGCAAATTTCTTAAAATTCTAACTATTTTAAGTGTATATCATGTATATTCAAAATATGCTTGATCACATTTATTTTTGCTTAGAATTTCAACTACTGTAAAGTAACAGTGGAAAATGATGAATATATGACAAGTAAAACAGCTACTTCAGAAAAGCAAAGTTTATCAAATACATATTACCACACAGTATAAATACAAAGGAATTTTAGCTTTGCACTGAGGAAACATACACTTTTTTCCTATAGAAAACAATAATTAAACTTTGAAATTTATATAAAATTACATACCAACTGTAGAATTATAAAAATATTGGATAAATCGGTTTTCTGGCTCTGGGGACTGAAAGGTGTGAACAAACTGATGGGTGGCACTGGTTTCGTTCTTTGCTACATCTTCTAGATAAAATGCTTGTTCCAAAAGAATTTGCCATTGTACTTGAGTTCGACGGTGCCTCTGAACTGCATAAATTACCTAAAAAAAGAAAGCAAAAGGGGTAAACCTGTCATTGTTCTGATCCAATGGTGGGCCAACCCAATATTTAGGAATGCATGCATGTATATATGTATGTTATAACAGAAAGTGCATTTACTGGGTGGAAAATGATTTGTAAAACTTCTACATAATAGTTATATTTCTCTGCCCAATTTCCAAGAGCATCCCTGTCCAGAAATACAAGGTCAAAATATTTCAAAATACAAGGTTAAAACGTAAAAAATACGGATAAGGAAAATATCAAAGAAAGTTTTAGATACATTTTCAAAATTCCTTTTTTGTAGACAACAATTATAAATATAAATGAAATCATCTGTTAATGAAACAGCTATAATTAATAAAGTCACCTGTTTATGCAATTTTACCAGACTTTTTTCACTTGGATAAGTATTACGCTTTTCATCAAAATCTTCATAATCATCCATGTTTCTTCCCATTTTTTCCTGATACTCTGTAGGGCACTAAAAGGAACGAGATTAAAAAACAAAACAAAAAAAACTTTAATTATAAAATATAAAATTTGTTTTTATTAAAAAACTATCATTCTTGAGGGCCAGGGATTTGGCTCAGTGGTACCATTGCCTCACAAGTGCAAGGTCCCAAGTTCGATCCCCAATACCAAAAAAAACAAAACAAAACAAAACAAAAAACTATCATTCTTGGTCATCTCTAATTTTATCAAAAATATATTCTTCCTTTATTAGCACTTCTAAATAGTTGATTTCTCCTTGCTAGTACTTTTTTGAAAATATTTTTAAAAATGTGTTGACTTTCTTCTTACTTCCTTCATAGTAATTTTTGTGTTCAGATATACTAATTGGAGGTTGGTGAAGATAAGGAAACTCATCTACATTAAGTATCTAGTATTTGAGATAAAATAAAACTCATTGATTTTCTTGGCTAAATAAAGAAGAAGAATCATGATAAATCTAAGATGCTAAATTTTTTAAAACCACAGTACAGAGAATCGCATATTCTATATGGATATCTACCATATTATTAGTCATTTATTACTTTTATGAATTTTGGCAAGTTAGATAAGCTCCCAAAATAAGTCTCAAGAAGTAGCAAACATGAGACATGGTTAGAAAATTTATTCCTATGACTAGGATTTTAGCCAAAGGATCATTAGCTAATAATCAGTACAACTGATTTAAAACAGAGGAAAATATATTTCACTGGTTTTGTGTGTACAGAACTCTGTAAAATAATCACTTTTGAAAGTATATGCATTCTGCTAATTCCATACTACCATATAAAAATCTTAGTTGAATAGCTTTCTATTAAATACCTACCTACGTTATATTTCAGGTCATTTATTTAATGATAAATGAAATATTTTGTAAAGTGATATGTAAGAAGTTGGTTGAAACAGATTCCTGAGGTTCAAATTTATTTTCTTATAGAAGATATGCCTTTAGTGATCATATATAATGGCAATTTAAACTCTATCTTTATGATTGTGTCATGGCAATTACTATACATTACTCAACATCACCACAATCTCCACATTTCAATGGAAAATAACTTTATATCTGATTTAACAAATGAACAACAACAACAAAAAACCCCGTGTACATATTACTATTGGTTTATAGTCAATATTTCCAAAAATATTGGGAAGACCCCAGTCATAGTTCATTTCATATTTTTCTGATGCTTTTGTCATTATGTAAAACATTAATTTATATATTACATAAATTAATATTTTAAAAGGAAACAAATGAGATAATTTAATTACCTTTTTGAGTATTGTGTCAACACACTTTCTCAATGGGTGGTTATACTTGATGCTTTCATTCACTTTACGAACTTCCTATAAAAACAGTTAAGAGAAATAAAAATATTTCCATTTTTACACATCAGATATTTCAAATGACAATGCACTAAATGCTATCTATTGTTTCACAAATTTAATTTCAACTCAAATTATTTAATATTATGAAGTATTTTTCACTTAATAAAAATTCCTAAGAACATTAAAAAAGTAACTAAATAGCAGTACCTATACCCATGATCATTAATTGATATGTCAACTTGTCTTGAATAAGAACCACCTAGCAGATTAGTAAATTCTGATGTATCTGTAGATGTTTGACATGTACGTCAGCAAACTGAGACAGGAAGATCTACACTGATGTCAGTGGCACCAACCAATATGCTTGTAACCTGGATAAATAAAATGGGAAACAAAGCATCTCCCATTTTTGAAAGACCTGGTGTCATCACCATTGCCTTTGGACACTGGTGTCTAGTTTTTTCAGCCTTCTAATGCAGACTCTTCAGCCTTCAAAACCAGACTCACACTGGTGCCTCTATGAGTTTCCAGACCTATGAACTTCAAATGCTATTGGATCCTCTGCTGTCCAGCATATAAATAGCCATTTTGGAGATTTCTGCCTCTGATCCCACAAAGGGCCACTGTGATTCTTCTGTCTCTCAAGGTCATACCTAATAAATCCCTTTGTATAATTATGTATATATTTTACATTGATTTTATACCTTTAAAGAACCCTAATGCAATACTCTCACACTTTTTATAACTTTCTAGATTTACTTACTTATTATTTGCTTACTTGGTCTACAAAAATGATTAAAAATTATTTTAAAAGATGTAACAATTGTTGTGATCCTCAGCCAGGCATGGTAGCACACACCTGTAATCCCAGCATTTAGAAGGATGAGGCAGGAGGATCATTGTGAATTCAAGACCAGCCTGGACTTCATAGTGAATTCCAGGTCAGTCTCAACTACATAGTGAACCCTGCCTCAAAAAGAAAAACAAAACAAAAAACAGGATTGTATTCCTCCACCTTGTCTCTCAAGATCAATTATCTCACTATCTTAAATATAGTAAAGAAACCAAAGGAGGCATCAAACACTACACACATTACAAAGAACTTGCTTCTTTGCAACAGGAGAGTACTCTAGAACAGTCGCAATTGATTCATCCTACATTTGTTTATTAAGACTACACTATACATTAGCACTGTGCTGGTTAATCCATGCTGGAGGGTGGGGTAGGAAACAAGAATTGCCAATCTACAACTAAAATGACAGTTTGGTGTTGAGGTAATGAATATGAAAGGATAGGTTAAGGAGAAGAATATTTAGAACCAGTAGTTCCTAGGGAATCACAATACTATATACTATTCGTGAAATAAAAACAAAATTTGGAACAAGTATTTTAAGCACAAAAACAGCATGTCATAGCATAAGAGTCAAGAAAGGGGGCTCTGTATTTAGCTCAGTGGTTTCACCAACTGCCTCACAAGCGTAAGGTCCCGAGTTCAATCCCTAGTACCCACCCCAAAAAAAACAGTCAAGAATGGAACTCCCTGGGATATGAAAAAGAACATTTGAACTGTAGAATAGAGGAGGGCATCAAAGGATACAGAACTCAAGGTACAGAAACCATCTGATATCAACAAATTGTTACAAATATGTATAACTTGATGACTAAGAATAACTATCCTTAATAGGTGAAGAGTTTTGGCAAACAAGTAGAAAATGAGAATATAGAAAAAATATAATTTGGGAGGAGGTCTCTCCAGCCGCCTGCTCGGGCCCACCTGCCGGGTCCGTGACCTCCCCTACTGCGCACCACCAGATCCAGAAAGGAAGGTAGCCGCGTGGGTGCCCTTGAATCACACCCACGACCTGCTCTCCCCCATCCCCATTCTCACACCTCCTGATTGGGCCAGTCCTTGGACCCACTCTGCAGAGGCATAGGTGGTCATGAAGGGTAATTTTCTGAGCTCACAACGTTGAACATCTTTAAAGAAAGGGCAGGGGAAACCTGTAATAGAACTGAGTGGAGTTCAACACTGTGGGTTGGTAAACTCAATTTAGCCCTTGTGGACCGAAGTCAGTATGAGTCGTGAGGACCTGCCATTGGCTAGCTTAGATCAGGGGATTCGGTTCTGCACATGGCTGTACACGTGGTATAATATGACAACAGAAACATAGTCTGAAAGAGGCCCTTCAAATTTTTTTTTTTCTTTTCCTCATTCCACCCTAAAATTACTTTCTTTTTTCTGTCCTCTCTCTCCAAGTCAGTCTCTTGCTCCACCATATTATCCCTCATCTCCCTTTTTATTCCTGTTCCTGCCCTAACTCAGACTTCTTCTTTTATTATTTTTTCTTTTTTTCTTTATGTTCTTTTCTCCTGTCATTTTAGTTCACTCATGGCTCCGTAGCTTCAAGGGAAGGTGAGCCCCTGTTACTGTTAAGCGGATATATTCTTGTCCTTATTCCTGCACTCTGTCTATCCCCTTTAAAGTTAATAGTTTCATTATGATAGTATGGTCATTCTATGTTCTCTGGCTTCACTTCAAACCTTCTCCAATTCTTTATCTACTAATCTCGTCCTAACTCAGTCTAACCCCCCATCCTAAATGGTAAAGATGCTATATTGAAAAGCATATTCACTGCAAACATATTTGGGGCTGCTTCTTGATATTAATTTAATTCACATGGTTTAAAGGTGATAGATTAATGATTACCACAAGCGGGCAATTTGCAAGCTGTGTTTGATCCTATTGGGCTGCTGAATGTATCAACTGGGATTAAGGATTGTGATTGATTATTTAATGAGTTGTTTTCTCCGATATTATGAAAATGAGGATGTCTATGAGTCATTAGAGACTCAAAAGCTAAAACGCAACTATATCAGGAAGATTTAAGTAATAACCCAGAAATTAAAACAAGGACAACGCAACAACAAAAATAAAAATGAGAAAACACTTAAGCAAGACCAAAGACACACTTCCAGTTCACCAATGGCAAACAGTACGACAAATGAGGATGAAAAATCTGATAGTGAAACAGCAGGACACCCTGGACTCATATCACAGGAGGTAACAAAACAGATCAATCGGGCTATAGAAAAATTCAAATCAGAAATAATTTCCCAGTTAACCATAGAGTTGGTGAGCAAAATGGAAGTCATGATTCGAGAAGCCATGAAGAAGCCATGAAGACTCAGCATAAGAAAGAAATAGAACCAATGAAAGCCCAACAGAGGAAAGAAACGGAATCCATAAAACAGATTCAAACAGATATCCAGGAGATTCAGAAAGCCATTGAAAGTGTACACAACAGAATAAAAGATTGCGAAGATAGAATTCAGATATAGAAGCTAGGATAGCAGTCAGTGACCATGAAAAAAGAGGTCTCTCAAAAACAGTAAGGGATCATGAGAAATCGATCCAACAACGGCTAGACGATGCAAAGAAAAATAACGTAAGACTGATAGGAATCCATGAAATAGCAAGAGAAAATACAAATGACTTAAAAAAGCTCTTCACAGAATTAATGACAGAAAACTTCCTAAACAGAAGGGAAGAATTCGACATTCAGATAAGTGAGGCATATAGAACTCCAACTAGCCATGATCAAAAAAAAAATCTACACCTAGACATATAATAATCGAGATCCCAGAAATCAAACAGAAGAACAAAATACTACAAGCAGTAAGAGAAAAGAAACAAATCACATGCAAAGGAAAGCCCATTAGAATCACAGCAGACTTCTCAACACAAACCTTTAGGTCAAGGAAAGCCTGGAGTAAGGTATTTCCAGTCCTAAAAGAAAACAACCTCCAACCTAGACTGATGTATCCTGCAAAACTCTTTCAAAATAGATGGGGAAATAAGAGCGTCCATGACAAAGAACACCTGAGAAACTTCATGAACACCAAACCAGCACTACAAGGAATTCTAAACAATATCCTAGAAAAGGACAATGAAGGTCACAATACCATGAGGCCCAACAGACCAAATCAAATAGGCAAGGCAAGAAACTAAAAGGAGAGGGGAGAAAAAGTAAAAAGAGTCAATAATAGGACAATAACATGACAATAAGTCAGAACATATCAGTTGTAACCATCAATGTTAATGGCCTCAATTCACCAATCAAGAGAAACAGACTGGCAGAATGGATTAAGAAGCAAAATCCAACAATATGTTGTATACAAGAAACACACCTAGTGCAAAAGGAAGCCCACAGACTGAAAGTAAAAGGATGAAAAACAATTCTCCACGCGTCAGGAGCCCAGAAAAAAGCAGGGGTAGCAATCTTATTTGCAGACAAAGTAAATTTCAAACCAAAACTCATTAAGAGAGACAAAGAAAGCCACTACATCCTTGTAAAGGGAACAATTCAAGAAGAAGAAATGACAATCATAAACATATATGCACCAAATATAAATGCCCAAACTATATACAACAGATATTAAATAACATGAAAAACCAAATAAACACTAATACAATTGTAATGGGGGATCTAAATACCTCACTATCACAAATAGACAGATCATCTAGGCAGAAAATCAACAATGAAATAATAAAACTGAACCAAGCTTTGGAACACATGGACTTAATAGATGTCTACAGAGTATTCCACCCCACAAAATCAGAATATACATTCTTTTCGGCTGCACATGGATCATTCTCCAAAATAGACCACATACTGGCTCACAGAACAGGTCTGAATAAATGCAACAGAATTGAAGTCATCCCCTGTATATTGTCAGATCCTAATACAATAAAACTGGAGATCAATAGCACAAGAATCTGTAGGAACTTCACAAGCACATGGAAACTGAACAACACTCTCCTAAACAATCAATGGATTACAGAGGAAATTAAAGAAGAAATTAGACAGTTTTTACGAATAAATGAAAATGCCAATACAACATACAGGAATCTCTTGTACACAATGAAAGCAGTTCTACGGGGAAAATTCATAACATTGAATGCCCACACTAGGAAAACAGAGAGAGCTCAAATAAACAACCTAATGATGAATCTTAGA